CTCTGAAGTCTTCGGCTGATTGATTTTCTCCTCGCGCCGAAGACTGTCCAGTTGTGTAGCCAACAGCCGGACTCCCAAGTTAGGTGAGGTGGTGGAGTTTCTGTGGAACTCACGTCATCCTGACCCGTGAGGGAGTGGGCCCGCCCACCGCCCCCCTGTTCAATTTCCGGCGAGATCCGGCGACTCCGGCGAGATCCGGCGAATCCGGCCAGCGAGATCCGGCGAATCCGGCCTCAACCTCATCCTGTGGCCTTCTCTGGTTGCCCCGTCAGCCCCCAGAGGCCTCGGGCCCTGCCTCGCACGGCGCCCCTCCCTGGGACACCTCTGGCGGACTTCAAAGGGAGCTCAATCGAAGACCACATTTTGAAAAAGGAGCCGCCCTCAACCTCATCCTGTGGCCTTCTCTAGTTGCCCCCTCAGCCCCCAGACGGCCTCGCACGGCGCCCCTCCCTGGGACACCTCCGGAGAGCCTCAAAGGGAGCTCAAGCGAGAAGTCCATTTTGAAAGAGCTCCCGCCCTTCAAGGCAAGGCCTCCCTTGAAGAATCACCCTTCGGGTTCTGATGGGCGTGCGGTTCGGGGCCGCCTTAGGTTCCATGTTATGTGGCAGGGTGTTGCCGTGCTGTGCCGTGCCAGGTGCTGTGCTGTGTGCGGTGCTGGGCGCCGTGCCGAGAGCCGTGCGTATGCCGTGCTGGGGGCAGTTAGACCGGCTCTCGATTTTCGCACCAACCACGTGGCACGTTGCCCGCGGCAGCGGCGCTTGCCACACCCCGTGACCTGGAGATGGGTATCAGGCATGGGGGATTGCGCACTTGGTTGGGAGGCGGGGCCGCGTGGTCCGTAAGTCCCATGGTGGCCTTGCGCCCGCTCACCCTGGAAAACAAACCCAGTGGCGCATGTCAGCCGACTGGGCAGGGGCTGATGGTCGGGAAGTTTCGCAGTGGCGAGCGCCGTGCCGAGAGCCGTGCGCATGCCGTGTCCGCCCGCGCCCGAGGCGAGATCCCAAGTACCGGTCGCGCCTGCGCCAAGTCGGGCTGGCCTTGCCCTCGGGCCGGCCGGGGAGCGCGATATCCCCCCTCCAGCCGCGCAGCGCGGTCAAGGGAAGGGGACGTGGGCGGCGTTTTTTCCGACAGACACACAAACATGGGCCTTTCACGTGTGCGCGCCGACATAGGGCGCCGCATGTGCCTGGTCCAGCACGCGCGGTGCCCCCTGGGAGGGGTTGCGGTTTTGCCGGATTGTGAGGACGCTTCAGAGCGGAACGCCACTCCACATCCTTCCTGCTCCCCCATTCATTTCAACCCACGCCCCCCTGGGTGCACATTGCCGGCGCCAGCGCGAAGATAAGAGGCACCTGGGGGGGCGCCCCGTTCCGCGAATCCCACTGCAGAGCGGGGATCCCGACCCCCCAGTGGGATTCGCGGAGCGGGGAAGGCCTTGGTGGGCCGAAACGTTTTTTTTGGAGGGGGGGGCTGCCCCGTTCCCTCGGATGGGCACAGCCCCCCCCTCGCCGGCCTCTTCTCCTTGATGTCCCTCCCTCTAACGTAACGCGCCCGCATTTAAGTTAGTGTATATTGTAAATTGCATTCTGGGAGCCGACCCTGGGTCCTTGGCGGAAGTCTGGCGGGTTCCCATGGAAGCTGGAGGAGGTGCGAATTTTCGGGCTCGACGAAAGCAGAGTATATACAATTCCGTTTAGTTATGTAAACGGCTGCGCCGTTCCGCCCCGTAGGAGAAAGGCCGCACCTTCCTCAGGCGCCCGCTTGGGGAAGGAGCGGCCCAAAGGCTGCTCAGTGGCCTTCATTGCCCACCCAACGCAAACAAGTGGGAAGGTCGAGCTGGCGCCCCGCGCTCCTGTGACACGATTGCGTGTTTGGGCGTTTTTGGCGCATTTCGGGCGTCGGCGGGGGCTTCTGAGGTGGTTCAGGTTCAGGCCACGAACTCAGCTTCGTGGGCCACCAGCTGAAAGGGCAACCGAGGGCGGGGGCCAGGTACCTGTTTTCATGGTGTCAACGCCACACATTCCTTGGGGCACACTGTCAGAATCGACTGCATTCGGCGACTGGGGGCAGCTAGACCGGCTCTCGATTTTCGCACCAACCACGTGGCACGTTGCCCGCGGCAGCGGCGCTTGCCACACCCCGTGACCTGGAGATGGGTATCAGGCATGGGGGCGAGCACGCTTGGTTGGGAGGCGGGGCCGCGTGGTCCGTAAGTCCCACGGTGGCCTTGCGCCCGCTCACCCTGGAAAACAAACCCAGTTGCGCATGCCAGCCGATTGAGCAGGGGTTGATGGTCGGGAAGTATTTCGCAGTGGCGAGGTGAACCGATTTTCCCCCTACCCCCACGCCCTCTCGGTTTGAGGCAAGTCGTTGGGCGACGAGGTAGCTGACTATCCCTTGATCGTCGGTGCCGCCTGCGGGCGCCCCCTCCGGTCCAAGAGGCCGAGGTGACGGTTGAACTCCGATCGCCGTTCAGTTCTTGGTTCCACGACTCCACAACTTCCTTGTCGTCCCACCCGCCATCGTTCAGCAGCAGTGTCCTCCCGCCGTCGCGCCTTTTCCTTCGGCTCGATGGCCAAGCGCCGTTCAGTGTAGCTGTGCTCAAGCTGACGGAACAGAACCCGCGGGAACTTCCGTGGCCTCGCTTAGCAGATGGCGGACGGTTCAAGCGGCAAGAAGTTTTTGAATGTGAGCAAAGCAATGTGGGACATCGTTGACAAGTTCTTCGACCCAGCGAAGGTGCTCACGCAGCGCGGGTACGAGCTCATCCAAACGTACAGCATCAGGGCTGCACACCCTGTGCTTCCTTACGTCATGCATTTTCTTGCAATGATGTGCGCCCTTAGCAACGGCGCCAAAAGCGCGTGGTTCCCCCACGCTCACAGCCCCATGTTCTTGATGGTCCTGAACGTGAATTTCGCCCAGACGAGAAAGTCATCCATCACCGGGAACGGCGACAGCTTCGGGGACAAGCTGGACCAGGTCGCTCGGGATGTTGTGGCGCAGAAAGTCCTGGCAGCAGCGTCCGTCGTAGGAGATATGCAGGGGGCACCACCACGTGATGAAAGGGGCCGTCGTCGCCGGAATCCTGACGCCGCGGACCCCAGTGGTGCAGCGGATCCCCCGCGGCAGCCGCAAGTTGCGCCCTGCGTCCTGCACGCGGCGACGCCCACAGAATTCTTCCACCGTTGCGCCGGGGACTACCAGCAGGTCCCAGACGCGGAGAACTTCCCCGGCGTGGATGTGCGAGGCCGTCACGTGCACGGCGTCTTGGTGAACCCTGACGAGGCATACGACACGCTCACGAGTTTCAACTTCATGGGCGAGCAGAAGGCGGGGAAGAAGCAGACCACTGTGAATGCCTTCCAAAGTGCGTTCAACAAGTTGGCGCAATATGGGAAAGCATCCAGGGCGACCAAGACTGCTGGCTCCTACGGCCGGGTGGACGCGCCTACAGTGTCTGTGGGAATTTCAGGAAATATACACTTCTCGACGTACGTGCCCATGGAGCGCGGGGAGACAGGGTCGCACCACACTGCCGCGAAAGAGAGGATTCTCATCAGCACAGGGCGCCCTGTGCAGCCGCACGCCCCCTTGCCAGACACGTACGCAATGCCCGCGGGCACTTTGCGGCACAAGTGGGTCCCTCTGGTGGCCGAAGTGGCAGAGGCGCTCGAGCTGGTGGCCGGTTCGGCGCCCCCCGACCAGGCCGCCCGCGTGTGGGCCAGGGCCGCCAGGCCGCGCGAGGACGACGCCGCTTCCTCTGAGACGGTCGACGGGAAGGTGTACGTTCCCGACGCCGAGGGCTTCTCGGTAACCTTGCCAGATGGCGTGCAGACACAGGTCCGCTTCCAGCGGGACGCCTCGGCGCCCACGGGGTTTCGCCCGGAATGGTTGGTCGCCGACAGATCTTTCCCGATGCCCGCGCACCACTCGCTAGAGACGTGCGTGCCCCGCGTGACCACGTATTTCGAGAAGCCGCACGTAGTGTTGGAGCCGACCGTGGAAGCGCTCGCCCTGCACCAATCAATCGTACCAGGGGGCGTTCACTGTGATGTGCTATAAGCAGCGAGAGGCGGGCCGCGAGTACGCCGGGGCCGCGCTGGGCGCGGCGCCGCGGCACTTGGGGGAGTTGGCGTCGGCGCTGTGCATATTCAAGTGGCTTACGCCATTCCGCCGACCCACAGAAGAAGTGAGGGCCACGACGATCGTGGAACATATCGAAGACGCCTACGGCGAATCACCGCCGCCCCCTGCCTTTGTGGAAGCGCCTATGTGGCCGAACGTTGAGGCCAGACCTGCCAAGCCATCGGACCATGTGTTCCCCGAATCGGTTTGGAAAGCCTTCGGGGAACACGTGGGCGTCTTGATGGTCATCGTCGCCGTCTTGGAGGCCTCTTGGGCGATCTTTCGGCGATCTTTGGGGGCTCTTGGGCCGTCTCGGGCCGTCGGAAGGCCGAAAAAAGGGAAATGCCCAAATCCATCAAAAACCTTGGGAAAATCAGTGATTTTGGCATCTTTTGGCCTTCCTGGAGGCCCTCTTGGGGGCCTCTTGGGCCCTTTTGGGCCAGCTTCGAGCCAACTTCGGCCATCTTGGTGGGTTCCTGGCACGTCTGACGCCGTCGGGAGCCGTTTTGGGGGCCTTTCTGGGCCAACGGGGGACCCTCTTGGGGCGCTCCAGGGCCGTCTTGGAGGCCATCTTGGGCGTCTTGGAGGCCATCTTGGGCGTGTTGGAGGCCTCTTGGGCCGTCTTGGGGCCCTCTAGGGGCCATCTTGGAGGCCACTTGGGCCATCAGGGGGCTCTCTTGGGGGCCTCTTGGGCGATCTTGGGGGCTTCTTGGGCCGTCTTGAGCCGTCGGAGAGCCGAAAAGGCGCAAATGCCAAAATCCTTCAAAAACCAATGGAAAATCAATGATTTTGGCCTCTTCGGACTCTCCTGGAGGACCTCTTGGAGGCCTCTTGGGCCGTCTGGGAGGCCTCTGGGGGGCCTCTTGGGCCGTCTTGGGCCGTCTTGGACTCTCTTGGGCCGTTTTGGAGGCCGTCTTGGACCATCTCGGGCGGACTTGGAGGCCATCTTGGGCCATCTTCGCGATTGTTTGAGGATGTCCCGAGCGAAACGGCCGTTTTTGGAGGTTTCTTCCGGTCGTTGAGCACGTTTGGGGATTTTCCGGGTGGCCGGCGGGTTCTGCCGGAGCCCACTGGGGAGTTCTTTTGGAAAAAGAACCAAAACCAAAACCTGAAACGTCCAGCACGCCGTGCACCCCTGCAAGCAGGGGGCGGCGGATCTATTGGCCCTCGGCCCATCCCGCCACCGTACCTGCGTGGTGGGTCAGAGGCCTCTTGACTGTTTGTTGGAATCTCGTGGTAGGCCTCTCGAGGGCTTCTTGGAGCAAGATTTGCAACCTCTTCGAAACCGTTTTGGGGCCTCGTGTGGGGCTCTTGGGGGGTTCTTGGGGCCCTCATGGGGCCTCCTTGGGCCCTCTCGGCGGGGGGAACTAATATGTTCGGTTCGCGCCCTCCCTCTCTTAGGCCGTCTTGGTGCCCCGTTGGGTTGTTTTGGGCTGCTCTTGGACCGTCTTAGGGCCCTCTCGGGCGGTCCCCAGGCCGTCTCTGGGGCCTTCTGGACGGTCTTGGTCCGATCATGGGGGCCTCTTGGGCCGTCTTCGGGCGTCGGAAAGCCGAAATGGCAAGAGCGCCAAAAACTTTCGAACATCAAAGAGAAATCAATGAGCGAGCATGGGCCATGGAGGCCATCTTGGGCGTCTTGGAGCGATCGTTCGGCCTTTCGCGGCTCTCTTGGAGCGTCTTGGGGGCCTTTTGGGGCTCTCTTGGCCCGTTGTGGGAGCCATTTGGAAGCTCCAGGGCCACCCCGGGTGCGTTCAGGAGCAGGACCCCCCATCGAAACGTTTTTTTGTCCCCCGGGGAGGGGGGAAGGGGGAGGGGGACAGCCAAATGTTTCATGCGCCTTTTCACCCCAGGCAACCGGGGGTCGGCGGATTCGACATCTTCTGCGGCAGGTACGACGACACCGAGGAGCACACCTCGAGGAAGATTGCACCGCAGGAGGAGCACGTCGAGCGCGCGGCGTCCCCGTTGAAAGTGGTCCACTTGTTGAAGGTAGCCGCAGCGAGCACGGAGGAGGAACCGGAGCCAGCGGCAGCGTATGCAGACACAGCGGAGCAGCGCCGGGTGGAGCTCGCTGCGTTCCTCGCGTCCTCGCAGGGCGCGTTCGACGGCCTGTGGTCCGCGAGCCAGCACGCGCGCGCGGATCGCCCGCCCGTGGATGCACCTCCTGCTGCCAGCGAAGCCAGCGCCCACGGCGGCGTCTCCAGGGGCGGGGCAAGGGAGGGGGAGCTTGCGGGAGATGACGACGCCGTGTCTCTCGCGAACTCGTAAGACGACCCCGTGTCCCCTGGCGGCGAGATTGGCGACGTGAGCGCCGACGAGGCGTCTGCCCAGGCGGCCCATGAGGGCGCCCCCGGGGGTGGCCCAACGAGCGGCCCTGGCATCCTGGTGTTGGAGGACGTGAAAGGGCTGGACTTCGGCTACGGGGCCGATGGGAGCAGCGTTCAAGACGGCCCCTTCCACGCCGCGGGCCTCACCGACCGCAACATCATGCGGAGGACGCTGCTCGTAGGCACCCCGACCGCCACCATGCGCGCCGCTTGCGAGCGGATGAAGTCATCGAGGAGGGGAGGCCAGCGGCCGAAGCACCTCCCAGAGCAGACGTGGCTGCGCGTGATGGAGGCTGGGCTGCAGGGGAGCCCTGTGGCGCGCCTGGATGGTCGCGAGATCCATGTCGCGCGCATCCCCGGAGGCCAGGCGGACCGGGTGGCTTACCACAATGCTTTGATGCGCTTGTGCGCCCTTCCACTGCGAGACCTTGTGGAGGCCATGAAGAAGGCAAAGGAGAACAGCGATCGAAGGGAGCGCGGTCGGGCAGAGGCAGTCCGCGTTCGCAGTCGCAGCCAGCGGAGGGAGTCATGAGTGCCCGGTCGGACCGGGGACCCGAGATGCGTAGAACGATATTCGCGCCGGCAGCCAAGCTTGCGCCGCCGCCGCCCCCCCCTGGGGCGGGCGGTGCAAAGTGTAAGCTTTGCGTGCGTGGGCAGGCGGCGAGGTATGTGCGCGCGGGTTTGCGCGGCGTCCTCGTAAGCAAGACTGCGTTGGTGGCACGCATACAGTAGATGGTTAGGAACAGTCGGATATCTCAGCGTCCTCGTAAGTAGGACTGCGTTCGTTGCACAAGTGCAGTCACGGTTCGTCGCGCCCGCTATGAAAAAATGAAGGCCCCAGCAGTCATGGTTCGTTGGCGGTGCCCGCCTGTCAGCGCTACGATGTCGCTACATGTCAATCTGTTCGTCCGGATCTTACGGGGGCCCCTTCGGGGCGCTACGGGGGCCGCCTTTGAGCGCCCCCGTTGGGTCTCTATCGGGCGATAGTGGGGCACTCATCACACAGAGCTATTTACTTGCATGTTAAGTGTGGGACGGTTCTAGGCGCGTGCCCCGCGGGTGCCTTCCAGGACCGCCCCCGGGTAGGAGCGTGCCCCGCGGGCGCCTTCTGCCGTCTCATGAACGTAGGTGTGCAAAGACTGTTGACCACGAGCGTAGGAGCAACAGCAGGGAGTGGCCAGAGGCAGCGGCAAAGCGCCGCCTGTCAGCGCTGCGATGTCGCCCAATATCAATCCTCTCGCCCGGATCTAACGGGGGCCCCTTTGGGGCGCTACGGGGGCCGCCTTGGAGCGCCCCCGTTGGGCCTCTATCGGGCGAAAGTGGGGCACTCATCACGCAGAGTTATGTAAGCGCATGTTAAGCGTGGGGCGGTCCTGGGCGCGTGCCCCGCGGGCGCCTTCCAGGGCCGCCCCCCGGGTAGGGGCATGCCCCGCGTGCGCCTTCTGCCGTCTTATGAACGTCAGCGCGCAAAGACTGTTGACCACGAGCGCAGAGAGCAGCAGAAGAGAGGGGCCAGAGGCAACGGCAAAGCGCCGCCGCCATTTTGGCTCAAGACCGTCAGATCGTCGTCGTCGCGCTTCCCTGCTGGGACCCGCACGCCTGGCGGCCCCCTGGAATCGCAGGTTAAGAGCCTTGCGTTGCACCGCACCGCATACCACACAAGCGTTCTGCCGACAAGCAGTTCGAAGCTGCGGTGAAGAGGGCGCGGTACCTGGGCGCCAAGCACGAGTCCAAGTGCCAGACCATCCAAGCCATCCTGGAAGGGCGCCTGTCCGAGATCACCGCGGAGCAGGTCTTGGACGCCATCAGGGGGCTCGAGGCGACCGCGCGGCAGGATGAACCTGTCCGGCCCCCCCTCCGCCCAGGCCTCGTCCAGCGAGGGCCCGACGGAGAACCAGCGCCTTCCTCTGCCAGTACATCCTCCCCAACACCTTCCTCTACCAGCGCATCTTCCCCAGCGCGTCCCTCCACCGGGACATCCTCCTCGAGCTCCGCCGGGACCGCGCCCTAGCCTTCGGATGCTCGACACGGCAGGGGCGCCCGCCTTGCAGGTCCCAGCCTTTGACTTTTCGGCTGCCGCTGAAAGCCGCCATGGCAATCGGAGCGTTGGCCAGTGCGCTGCGTGGTTGCGGAGGACAGTGGAGTCTGGAGACCCAGCCTGTCTCTTATCGGGGCCTGCCCGTGACCATTTGGTTTCGGCCTTGGTCTCTGCTGGCGCGCGCCCTGACATCCCGTTTTTTGGCGGGGAGGAAAGCCCTGGCGATTTATTGCACATTTCGGACAAGTGCCCTGCGTGCGACAAGCGAATGGTGAAGCGGCCAGGCTCTGGATCAGATGCCATCGTCTTGGACGTGGGCGGTCCCGTTTGTAAGACTCACGTCCCTTACCGCTGCAATTCGGTGGACTGTCCAAAGCGCGGTTTGGTACATTGGCACAACTACTACGTGGACGCTGGACGGCACATTTTCCACGGGGACGTTGCGGCCATGAAATGCATCATGCTTACCGCGAGCTTCGGGATCACAACGGAGTACCTGGAGGCCTTGCACGAGCGAATGCTGAGGGAACACGTATCTTTTGCCGGCGAAGCTGACGTGGCGCGCGCCCGTGCCGGTGGAACTGCGCTGCCAGCCAACTTTCGGAAGTACCTGTCGAAAGGCTGGTTCGTGTGGCGGTTGGCCAGGCGCGTCGGCGATTTGGGCCCTGATGACACCGCTGTGATCGACTTGATGCAACCACTTGAAGACCAAATCAAGGACACGTGGGACCAGCTCGAATTAACGTTCGAGCGTAGAACCGCAGAGAGGGCCCGAGCAGCAGGCATGAAGACCGATGTGGTTGCGGTGGATGGCAACGCCAAGAATCGCAGGCTGACGCGCGCAGCGCCTCTGCGCCACTGTGCGACGTGCCCGCGCTTAGCTCGGCGGGCGCGCGCGGGCTGCCCCCGGACGCCGCTGCTGGGCAGTGCGTTTTGTGGAGTGCACGGCGTGCCCTGCGAGTGCCCGGCCGAGGACTACGAGGTGGTGGGGCACGAGGCGCCCGAGGCGGGGGGCATGGGTTTGGACGGCTCGTTGAAATTGTTGGTGCGTGAGCGCCGGGGCGAACTCAGGGAGCTGTGGGTGTCGGAGTCGGCCGTGGACCTGGGCATCGTGAACGTCTACTTCCACGGTCTCGGGGAAGATCGCAGAGCGGCCAGCGCGGGCCGGCGGGGGGCAAAGGCCAGGTGGAGACGGGCGGCGGCCAGCGAGGTGCGTCGTCAACTCGACGCCGCGGCCCCTGCGTGGGATGCCCTCACGCCGGTGGAGCGGGAGCAGCTCCTTTCGGAGATGTCGTGCGAGGCCGACCTGAAGGCCGTGGCGTGCAACACCCATAAGGAGGACGACTCGCAGCAGGCGAAGTGCGCACGGACCGCCGGCGTACTATGCGCTCGCCTGTCCTCTGGCATCGTCGTGTACATGCGGGAAATGTTCGGCTGCGAATCCTTGAGCCAAAGGTATCCAGTTGCCTTCGGCCCATCCCGCCACGATGCCCGGGTGGTGGGTCGGATGGCTCATGTGTGTTGGTGGTGATCTTGCGATTGGCCTCTCGGGGGCCTCTTGGACCGTCTTGGGCCGTCTTGGGGCCGTCTTGGGGCCCTCTTGGGCCGTCTGGGGGCCTTTTTGCGGGCCTCTTGGGTCATCTTCGGGTGATTTTTGGGGCCTCTGGAATCGTTTTCGCGCGTAGGAAAACCGAGAGGGCGACAAGGCCACATGCAAGAAAAAAACGCAAAGTAATAAAATGTAGTTTTTCGGACCGTCTTCGGGAGAGCTGTTGGGGGCTGAGTGGGGTTTTTGGGAAGCCTCTGGGGGCCGTCTGGGGGCCATCCTTGGCGTCCTGAAGCGATGTTTGGGCCGTGCTGCGGCTTCCTCAAGCTTTGTGGGCTCGTTCGGGGGCCCTCCTAGGCGAGGGGGCCGTCCCGAAAACACACTCGACGAATTCCATAAAAGCCCAGAAACGCGCGAGAGCGCGTGGAACTGGGGGGCAGAGCCCTTCCCGACTGAGCAGTATCAGGGCTGCATGAGCTCAGGGATGCAGGAGTCTTGGGGCATTCCACTGCGTGCTGAAGGCACGGTGGCGGACTTGTTTATTTCTGCGATCGCAGATACGTTCCCTGAGTTGGCTGTTGTCGTTCACGACGACGCGTGCCACTTGCACAGGTTCACGGAGCGCCGGGCGTCCGATTCCCCGCAGGCCGCGCGTCTGGCTCCTCCAGCGATCTCTTACATCTGCGACGCTTTTCACATGAGTGGGCACACCGATGCGTGGTGCAAAGCGAATTGCAACCCAGCCGCCCCTCACTTGAAGACGCTGGTCGAGGGCGTGCGCACGTCTGTGTGTGAATTTACATTCACATGGATGAGCCAGTACAAGCATCAAACGAAACACATGAGCGAATGGGGGTTTAAGTTTTTCTTGCAGGAGATGTGCATGGCGCACAACGAGGCTCTGTTCAAGGGTTCGGCTCTTCACCTCACCCACACGAGCGGGGACTGAACTCGAAGCGCGGCTCGGTTGTGGCACGGCGGTGCCGCGCCCGTTTTGGAGATTGCGTCGAAAAAATAATAGCTTTCGCTTCTCTCCGGGGGGCCACGAACGGGGTCCGCGGTCCAGGGTCTGGAGTCCGGGGTCCAGGGTCTGGGGTCCGGGGTCCAGGGTCATGGTGTCCGGGGGCCTGGGTCCGGGGTCCGGGGTCGGATGTCCGCGGTCTGCAGGGTCCGGACCGTCCGGGGTCTGCCGGTGCCACCGGGGCCCGCGATCGGGGTCTTTGCCAAGGTGCACTCTAGCACGAGTTGTTCTAGTGCCAGGTGCACTCTAGACATGGTGATACTGGGTCAGGAGGGGAAGAAACGCACAGACACAATTAATCGTCGATCCCCAGAAAATATGCGAAAATATGGGAAGTGGGCGGGAAGACAGAAACCCAGAAAATATGAGAAAATATGGGGGATCTTTTTATTTGTGTGTATTTATTGAATCGCTTCGCTCATTCCGCCGGCCCGTGATATGGCATCGCTGGTTTTTGTCTGTGCGTTCGTTGCCCATGTTGCGCTCTTGGGGGCGGGTGTCGTTCGGACGCGTTGCGTGGGGAGTTTTGATGGTGAAGCAGTTCCCTGGGGGTCGTCTCTCGATGGGGCGAAATAGAGTCGTCGTCAAGATGCTTCTTTGGGGGGCCTCTTGGGGTCTGTTGAGAGGCCGTTCGGGGGCGCCTGGGAGACATGTTTGAAGCCTTCTGGGGCTTCTTTTGGGCCTCCTGGGAGTCTCCTGGGGCCTCTTGGCGACATCTTGGGGCCTCTTGGAGGCCTCTTGGGGCCTCTTTGGGACCTCCTGGGCGCCTTCTGGGACGGAGGGCTCCATTTTTGAGTTCTCGGTATCCCTCCTGAGTCCCTCTTGGGCCCGTCTTGGGGCCTCTTGGTCCGTCTTGGGCGGCACTTGGGCCGTCTTGAGGGCTCTCTTGGGTCGTTTCGGCGCCGTCTTGGGAGCTTCGTGGGCCGTCTTGGAGCGGTCTTGGGGGCCTCTTGGGCCGTCTTGGAGCGTCCGGAAGCCGAAAAAGCCAGAACACAAAAAACATCGAAAAAAACAATGAAAATCAACGATTTTGGCCTCTTGGGGCTCTCTTCGGAGGCCTCTTGGAAGGCTCTTGGGGCGTCTTGGAGGCCTCTTGGGCTGTCTTGGGGGCCTTTTGGGCCGTCTTGGGGTCATCTTCGGCGTCTTCGAGCGCTCTTTGGGCGTCTCGGGGGCCTCTTGGGCAGTCTTGGGGGCCTCTTGGGGCACTCTGAGCGCGCTCTGGGGAGCCTGAGAGGCCGCACCCAGAAGGAAAACCATCTCTGAGTAGACTTGGTCGGGCGGCGGTCGGGCGGCGGTCGGGCGGCGACCGGGCGTTGGTCGGGGTACTTTTCGCCGGGGGACCCCCAGGGGCCGCCCCGCGCGCGCGAACTAGAAATACTGTTAATACTGTTAACCAGTTACCGGAGATCTTAGCACGCCCTGGCCCGTTGGGCCGGCGAATTTGTGTGTCCTGGGGCCCCTTCACTGGGGCCGGGCCGGGGCAGGGCCGCGCGAGCTCAGGAGGGGCCCTTCGCGGGGTCCTCCGCGGCGACGCTTCTAGACCGCCGGATCGGCGAGCGCTGCTCCCGGTGTTCCCAGAGGCCGGCGGTGCCGCTGCGCCGGATGGGAGAGCGGCCGTCGCCGCCATCCTTGGCTTCCGCCTCTTGCGGCTCCTCGGCGCCCTCGGCGTCCTCCTCCTCCTCCTCCTCCTCCTCCTCCTCCTCCTCCTCCTCCTTCTCCTCCTCCTCCTCCTCCTCCTCCTCCTCCTCCTCATCCTTCGGGTGCGGGGTCTGGAGTATGGGCTCCGGGGTCCGGGCCCGGGGTCCGGGGTCCGGGGCGCGGGGCCCGGAGTCCGGTGTCCGGGTTCCGGAGTTTGGGGTCCGGTGTCCAGAGTTCGGGGTGCGGGGTCCGGGCCCCAGTAGACAACAAATAGATACTGGGAGTGTCTATTTGTGGCGCGCGCCGTGCGTAGCCAAATGACAACGAACTTGAGTCGGATCGCGCGAAGTATGTTTTTTACCCAACAGCGAAGATTGATAGGTGTCTAAGAGGGCCGAAAGAGAGCATCATGACTCCCCAGGGGGGTCTGGGCGGCATCCGGACAGGGATCCGCGGAAGTCGCTTTAAGCAAACAGTTGCACACTTCGTGGTCTTCGAGGTCCCAGAACTCCATTCCCGGGACACATTCTGAATGCCCGGAGCCACCTGTAAGCCATTTCGTGTTTTTCGAGTTCCCAGAACTCCGGTCTTGGGCATGATTTTGAATGCCCGGAGCCAACTGTAAGCCACTTCGTGCGCTTCGAGTTCCCTGAATTCCATTCCCGGGCCACATTATGAATGCCTGGAGCCAACTGTAACCCATTTCGTGGTCTTCGAGTTCCCAGAATTTCAGTCCTGGGCATGATGTTGAATGCCTGGAGCCAGCTGTAGGCCACTTCGTGTTCTTCGAGTTCCCAGAACTCTTGTCCCGGGCCACATGTTGAATGCTGAGGCAGGCTGATGCTGAGGCTGAAGCAGGCTGAGGCTGAGGCTGAAGGCAGACTGGGGCTGAGGCTGAAGCAGGCTGAGGCTGAGGCTGAGGCTGGCTGAGGCTGAGGCTGAGGCGAGCTGATGTTGAGGCAGGCTGACGCTGAGACTGAGGCTGATGAGGCTGAGGCAGGCTGAGGCTGAGGCCGAGGCTGAAGGCAGACTGAGGCTGAGGCTGAAGAAGGCTGAGGCTGAGGCTGAGGCTGAGGCTGAGCTGAGGCTGAAGCAGGCTGAGGTTGAGGCTGAGGAGGCTGATGCTAAGGCAGGCTGAGGCTGAGGCTGAGGCTGAGGCAGGCTGAGGCTGCGGCAGGCTGAGGCTGAGGCCGAGGTTGAAGGCAGTCTGCGGCTGAGGCTGAAGCAGGCTGAGGCTGAGGCTGAGGCTGATGCAGGCTGAGGCTGCGGCAGGCTGAGGCTGAGGCCGAGGCTGCAGGCAGACTGAGGCTGAGGCTGAAGCAGGCTGAGGCTGAGGCATGCTCAGGCTGAGGCTGAGGCAGGCTGATGCTGAGGCAGGCTGAGGCTGAAGCTGATGCAGGCTGAGGCTGCAGGCAGGCTGAGGCTGAGGCTGAGGCTGAGGCTGAGGCTGAGGCAGAGGCTGAGGCTGAGGCTGAGCAGGCTGAGGCTGAGGCTGAGGCAGGCTGAGGCTGAGGCAGGCTGAGGCTGAGGCTGAGGCTGATGCAGGCTGAGGCTGAGGCAGGCTGAGGCTGAGGCCGAGGCTGAAGGCAGACTGAGGCTGAGGCTGAAGGCAGGCTGAGGAGGCTGAGGCTGAGGCAGGCTGAGGCTGAGGCTGAGGCAGGCTGAGGCTGAGGCTGAGGCAGGCTGAGGCTGAGGCTGAGGCTGAAGCAGGCTGAGGCTGAGGCTGAGGCAGGCTGAGGCTGAGGCAGGCTGAGGCTGAGGCAGGCTGAGGCTGAGGCTGAGGCAGGCAGGCTGAGGCTGTGACTGCGACTGCCGCTGCCGCTGCGACTGTCATCGCGAATGCGACTGCGACTGCGAGAACAGCAGAACTCTACAACTGGATTCTCATCTGAATCTTAAGGGGAATGCTTCCATATATGCTTCTACACATCGCTGTTAGGTTGCTTTGCCGGGATAATTTTAGATACTGTGTGCACGGCGCCTCAGCGGGAAGCTCGAAATGTTATGAGTGTCTACTCCTGTCTTGGGCCGTCTACCTGCAGGGGTGTGCAGGGGTGTGGGGTGTGCAGGGGTGTGCGGGGTCCGGGGTCCGGGGTCCGGGGTCCGGGGTCGGGGTCCGGGGTCCGGGGTCCGGGGTCCGGGGTCCGGGGTCGGGGTCCGGGGTCCGGGGTCCGGGGTCCGGGGTCCGGGGTCCGGGGTCCGGGGTCCGGGGTCCGGGGTCCGGGGTCCGGGGTCCGGGGTCCCGGGGTCCCGGGGTCCGGGGTCCGGGGTCCGGGGGGATCCGGGGTCCGGGGTCCGGAGTCCGGGGTCCGGGCGCGACCCGGGCGGCGGGTGGTCCATGTGTGCGTCGTTTTGCCGCCTGCCTCCGTTAGGAGGTGGGGTTCTTTACACCGACTCCCTCCCTTGCGGAGCGGGAGGGTTCTGGACCCTCCAACAATTCTCTTGAGGGCGGGGCGGGGGAAGGTTCTGGACCCCCCTCATCATTTTGAGGGGGGCAGGGGTCCAGAACCCGCCCCACTCACTCCCCCCGCCCCGTTTTGGGTTTTGGTTTTGGGGTGGGATGAAACCCTCCCCACCTGCCAGCAGCGTCAGAGAGCGCTCCTTCTCAAAAAGCGACTTGGGATGGACCGCCCGTCCCGGGGAACGAGTCGAGCGAGGGAGCGGGAGGCCTCCGCTACGGACAGCGCCGGAGCCTGGCCGATTGCGAGGCGGGAGGGTGTCCACATCCACCGCGTGGGGAGCCGACATCCTGGGGCCCCAGCGGGCGGTGGACATGGACACGCATACTAAGACTAGCCCAGGAGGCCCGACTGTTAGAGCGCAGAAAATCCAACCTCAGAATAATCACCCGGGCTCGCGAAGTCCTTCAGTAAACGCACCCCAAGAAGGCATCAAAAGGAAGGGCTGTTTGGTAAACGCCCAGGGTCGTCCAGTAAGCGCCAACTCTCGTGCCTGGGTGGCTCCTCCTCCATTGGAATATGTCCGTATCCGCCGCGTGCCGGCGTCCCCGAAGATCGCTCCCCCCCAAGCGGCTGCTGGGGATCGGTCCCCGCCTCGGGTGGCCAAGGCCAGGCTGGTGAAGCCGTGGCCTCCGAAAACTGGCGCGCTAAGCCTCGTGTGATACTCGAGACATGCCCTGGCATCCATCGATCTGTGTTGGCACAGTCCGTGGCCCAGAAGCCCCGGCCGCTTCCCTGAGGTAATTCTCGTCCCGGAGTGTTGGATGACCCTGGGGCCCAAAAACGGAACCCAAAGGCCGAAATCAAGGAGCAACGCCTGGACTGAGAAAAAAACGCATGGGCGGATGCCTGGGCATCGAAAAAAGGCTACAGCCAAGACTGAGAATTTGAATGCACGAGAGGGACGCGAGGGCCTCGGAAGGCCATGCCGACACTTTTCGAGCGGGGCGCGGCCAAGGACAATGGCCAAGGATGGGCCGAAGGGGAAGGTCATACAGTGGAGACCCGTGCCAAGAAGCACCCTGCCTGCCTCCAGGGTGCCCTTGGTTTCTTGGGTTCCGATGGTTCTGCCGTGGAAAGCGCGACGCTCCCACCCCCAAAATCAGTGGACGTCCTGGGGTCTCAGGGTTGGGCTGCTTGTGGAGGGCCTCTTGTGGACGGAGTCCCGGGGGGGGCGACCTGGTGACCCCTAAGGGGCGAGAAGGAAATACCAGTACTGTGCGTCGCCCTTCGAGGCGCACGTCCGAACCGAACATACAGAGCAGAAGCATCTTACCCATACGACCACCGTTCGGGGTGATGATAAGGCTAGGGGGGAAGGGCAAAAAAACGACTGCTTGCACCTGCGATAGGTGTGATGACGACGATGCTGGTGGCGCGCCCTCAAGTTGGCGACGACGCGTGATGACGATATTGCGCCGCGATGTTATGTCACTATCGACCCCGCTATCGATCTCACTCGATCGATCTCACTATCGACCTGACGGGCAGTCGTAGTATCGATGGATCCAGCGACCGATCTCGCAATCGCATGGTCGACCTGACTATCGGTTTCCTATCGATCTCACTATCGATCTCACTGCCGCTCGCACGATCGATGCAACTACCGATCCCACTACCGATCACTATCGAACCAACTATCGATCTTACTGCCGATCTCACCACAGCTCTGTCATTATCGACCTCACTATTGATCGGGACACCATCGGGACACCATGGCGGGACACCGCGGGACACCACTGGACACCACGGGACACCACTACGAGACACCGCGAGAAACCACTTGGACAAGGCGGGACACCACGGAACACCACGGGACACCACGGCACACCATCGGGACACCACGGCACACCATCGGGACACCACGGCGGGACACCGCGGGATACCACTGGGACAACCCGGGACACCACGGCGGCCGTGCCACGGCGGGACACCCCCAGCCACCGCCACCGCGCGCCCACAGGAGGGCCGGATTTTTGCATTGCATCCGAATCGCCAGAGCGACTGCGGGGTCGGTCCTCCCGCGCGCGCCCACGCAGCTTCGCCTCGCCCACACGCACGACACGAGCACGAGACCGAAATCGATTCGCCAGAGGTCTTTCCGTTCCACTGCGACCTCACCCCCCCAACCTCAGACAGCACATGGTCACCAGGGCGGTGTGGGCGGTGGACAAACCTCCCTCTAGTGAAAACGGCCTGGGACCGAAACCGACGGACCTGAATCCGCAGAAATGACGGCCGCGACGCCCTCGCGCGAATCGAGAACGGCCAGTTCGCCAATCGGCGTGTCAGGGTGGGAGGCCTGTCCACCCCCGAGTGGCCAGAAAGCGCCGGTCACCGACCCAGGCGCGCAGGCGGAGGTCGGGGTGGCGCGCAGGCGGAGGTCGGGGGTCGACGGGAAAGTCGGCGCCGGTGTCGTGGTCTTGTCGCGCGTGCGGGCGAGGCGGAGCTGCGTGGGCGGGCGAGGTGAAGGAGCCCGCTGTGGCTAGGGCGAAACTGAGCTCAAGAAATCTACGCCCCCTGGTTGGCCGACGGTGGCTCAGGGGTGTCCCCCGGTGTCCCTTGGTGTCCCGTAGTGTCCCGTGGTGTCTCGTGGCGCGATGTCCCGTGATGTCCCGTGGTGTCCCGTGGTGCCCCGTGGTGCCCCGTGGTGCCCCGTGGTGCCCCGTGGCGTCCCGCGGCGCGGTGTCCTGTGGTGTACCGTGTGTCCCGTGAGGTAGATTGTGATGCCCATTATAAGATCGATAGTGAGGTCGACTGTGAGATAGATAGATAGTCAGATCGATTAATAGATGGAGACCGATAGTGAGATCGATGGGTAGGTAGAGCGTGAGATCCATAGATAGATGGCCAAACAGGCGCTCCGTAGTACCAGACTGGTTTCCGCCGAATCTTGACCGACCCCAATCGCACACCGAAAGCTGAACTCCCCACACACACACACACACACACACACACACACACACAACCTCCTTATCATCCGAAGGGTAGTCGCATAGGTAGTAGCAGTATGTCTGGGCCTGTCTGGGTGATGCTGACCCTTGGCTCGGGTTCCCCAGGCCTCCGTCGGATTTATTTCTTCAATCTCGCTGCTTTTCCTCAACGTGCCCAGACGGCCACGGTCCGAATTCCGTCCACGATGGCCTCTCCGCCCTCCCTGGTGACTAGAATCAATGACGGACCGCCTCGGCCACCCAGCCAGCTTCACGATCGGGCTGCCCCTCCCATTGGAACACGGGAAACCCAGACACCCTTCGTCGCCGAAAAAAATACAGGCGGCGGGTCTTTCCAAGCTTGGGGCTCTCCGAAGCCCGCTTTGGGCCCTGGGGCCATCACGAGGACTGTCAACAAAAACTGTTCGGGGCAAAGCCTGCTCTCCGGGAAGTGGTCGGGAGGTGTGGGGAGGACTACGTCACGACAGAATCATGGTTGGGATACCCGGGAAAGGACCCAGGGGGGCCCTCCCCAAGAGCGGGTTCTCACCCCGAGCCGTGGAGGCCAGGAAAGGGCCTCCTGGCAGGCCGACAGAGTCCAAGAGCCCCACGACCCCTTCGCTGCAAATGATGTTGCTGCCCCCCTGCGCCAACAAAACCAACAAACAGAAGGGGGAAACGGTAGAGGAAAAAAAACTATGCACATACACCGATTCTGGCCAGGCCCATCTTGAGCCCAGGATCGGTGCATACGCCCTCCTACCTTGGCCAGGAAGGCATATGCACCGATCCTGGGTCAAGGATGGGCCTTGCCAGGATCGGTGCATGTGCATAGTTCTCTTCGCCCGAAACGGGAAGACGGAACCAGGACGCCCATGTCTGGCGGCGCCCACGACCGGATGGCTCGAGGGGGGCGGCCGTCTGAGAAGGCGGAAAGGTTTCTCGGAAGGCGGGGGTTCTTGGAGCGCCCCAGGGGGGTTCTGAGATGGCGTCCCAGAAGCCGGGCAGGCTTCCAAGAAGCCACCCTGCATTCTTACCCTGGATCTTACCCTGAGATCCGACGTTGCGAAACAAATCGCAACACGCACCATCGCGGGAAAAAACGACCGAAGCAATAGACCATATCTTCATGCAACCAGCCCGATCTGTGAGGGCCCCGGGACCCGAAAACGGGCGAGAACGCCAGTTGCTGAACAAATGCAACGCTAGGATCTCAGGCCGCCTGCCTCGCGCCACTCCCTTATGGGCGCCACCAACACAAACTCAAAGTTCGGCCCTCCTCGCGGCACAGCTCGGAAAGCCCATGGCCCACAAGAAGACGGCCCTCCTCGGCACAAAGTCCGCGCCAGAAGTCGGGCGCTGCTTGATGGGGGAACAGTCAACGGGGGGGTGAAGCAAGGTGCACTTCTCGTGCACCTCGAGACTGCAAACACTAGAGCTCGACGATAGCTCTAATGCAGGAGCACCAGCGCCCCAAATCGGCCTCCTGTGGGCCATGGCAGGGAGCACCTACCCAACTCGTTTCTCCCTACACAGCTTGCCTCTACGGGTCCTGTACAATAATGCTTCTGAGGCCGCCAAAACAACTCGCCGGATCTGGAATCGGTGACGTGGTCTCTCGTATGGTTTCCCGCACGGTCTCCCGCATAGTCTCCCGTATGGTCTGTGTGTATAGGGAGACGGCCGAGGGGTCGTTCCTATACGGGGTCGTTCCTATACGGGGTTCGTAGGTTGAGGCGAGGAGTAGGACTCCTTTTCCAGGGCACTGCGCAGGGAGCAGTGCACTGTTAGTGTATTGCCCATCAACCTGAGCCAATACAGTTGCGGTAAGAGAAGATATAGTAGGGAAGTGAGCGGATTTCACACACATGGTCGTCCGTCTGGTATGCCGCATGGTCCCCAACATGGCCGCCCATCTGGTTTTCCTTCTGGTCCTCCTTCTGGTCTCCCGCATGGTCTCCCGTATGGTATCCCATATGGTCGCCTTTCTGGTATCCCGTCTGGTCTCCCCTTGTGGCCTCCCTTTCTGGACTCCCTTGTGGTATCCCTGCCGGCCTCCCCTGTGATCTCACCTTATCACCTCTCGTATGGTATCCCTCATGGTCTGCATCACGTTATCCCTTTTAGTGTTACCTGAAGTGCTCTGTGCTGTAAAGATCTCTTCAGGGCTTCCCGTCACCAAGGTGATGCTTTACACGTCATTACCCCTCCCCTCCCCCTGCTCCATCATCAGGTTCTACCCGCCAGCAGACAAGGATGGAGGAGGGAATGCTTGACATCCACGGCATGGAGGGACGAGGGGATGGAGGAAGAAGGGAGGGATTCGGAACGGGGGGGCAGGGAAGCGGCGAAAAAAGGAGGGGGGAAAGAGAGGAGGAGAAGCGGAGGAGGGTGGAGGGAGGACGAGGAAGGAGACTGGAGCAAGGAAGGGAAGGAAAAAGACCAAGTGCGCCGGGGGAAAGGAACGGAAAAGACGGAAGACATGGCAGGAGAAAGCGAGGGACCGCGCGCGGAGAGACGACGCCTCAAGCTTCGCACGACCAGTCGCGCCACGGGGGCAGAGCCCAGCCGCCTCCGCGGCCGCGGGGCCTCTCGGAGAGGCCGCGGGCCTCAACCTGCCTCCGCGGCGAGGTGCGCGCCTCGGCCGAGCTCCGCGGCGGCACGCGCGGCGCGGAGGGCAGGCCCGGCAGCCCTCCGCGACTTTCGGCGACACGCGAGGAGTGACCCTGGGCGTACTACGACAGCAAGAGGAAGAACTTCCAGAACCGGCAGCAGGGCCACGACGGCCACAAGCAGAGCTGCAAGAACTACCCGCCGAGCCACATAGGGGCCCCAGCAGGTCTGCCGCGGCAAGGGAGAGAACTTCCTCCCGGGGGCACCAGCAGATCTACGAGGGCAAGTCGCAGCACGTACGTAGAAGCCGTGCCATGACTGCACATCGGCAAACTCGCAGGGTCTCGGAAACTACCGGCTGAGCTTCGAGGGCCACCAGCAGAACTGCGACGGCCAGGGTGGCCGTTGCTGCGCGGCCTCAGGGGCCGCAAGGAGGCCAAGTCCAAGCGCCCCAGCCACTGCTGGGGGACCCCTCTGGGCCCGCACCCGAGGTCGCCCCGGCGAACGGCCACTCCTGTAGGAGCACGGCGCCCGTGCACCATGCTAATGTCTAGACGTGCTGAACCCCGCCGCAACTTGGGCAGTCCCTCGCGTGGGTCCCCAGGTCGGCACAGCTGATTCCTTCGTAGGTCCTCATGCGGTCAACATCGCGCAGGAGCATCCCTCTCCCGAGCACGCTCTCCCTCCTCTCATAAAACAGGGCTAGGATCGGGATAAATCTCTCCAGAGCGTTCCGGAGCGCTCTCAGAGCGTTCCGGAACGCTCTGGAGCGGCCGCGGCGCCCAATACATCCTCCAAACCCGCCGATTCTCAGAGATTTCGAGTTATCCCGATCCGATTTTGTCCCGATCTTCGCGTCGTTTGATCTCAGGCCCCGCTGCAGCACGGCACGGTGCACAGCGGTCCGGCCGCCAGGGCCGAGCAGCTGGGCACCGCACAGCAGATCCTCACGGGTCGGCGGATCGACGACGCCTCGCGGCGGCAACGCGGTACGGTACGTGGCCGCGGGCCTCGCCCTGTGCGGCGAGGCGGGTGCCCCCCCTCGCTGCTGCGGAGGCGCGGGGCGAGGCCGTCCGCCCCTCGCGCCGAGGCCCTCTGGGAGAGAGCAGCCCTGCATCCCGGACCGAGGCGCGCGCGGGCCGCGATCGTCCTCTCCTCCGCGCCCCACGCGGGCGGCCTGGAGCATGGGTCGTGTGTCGCGCATGGCCGGAGAGGGAAGGGGGAGAGGGGGCACAGGGGAGAGGGAGCAGCAGGACAGAGGGGAGGCAGGGAGCAAGAGGGTGATACCAGCCCCGCGTGTACTCCCCATGCCTGGTAGCCTCAAAAAGAGGAGAGAGAGAGAGAGAGAACAAAAAAAAAAAAAAAAAACAGGGGGAGGCGGCCTCGCCGCTGGTCGACAGAATCGGGGATGTGCCTCCCCTGATCGTGGCTTGGTCCCCGCAGCATCACCACCACCTCTGGCCCTACTTGCTCTTCAGTCCCTGCCCCCTCCTACGTTTCCCACCTCCGGTGGCAATATTCTACGTTGAAATAACCCGCTTGAAAATGATCAACAGTCGTTTCAAGCCGCAAAATCTACACGTTCTGACACGACCACTTTGACAAGTAGCGATGGGTTAGAACACGCACGACCGCGCGAATGCTTCCTGCCGTGAAGACGTTCAATTGTCTGTTCCTCTTTCTCTGCCTCCCTCCCCCATCCCCATCACCTCGAGCGAGCGGGAGCGCGCGGGGTAGGAGAGGGAGGATTAGAACTGGTAGATGACGGCGACATGTTGGACAATCCCCTGGATGCTGAGATCCTGCCAAGGGTCCTGGCCCGAACAAACTGGCAGCGGATACCCGCGATGTTTCACACAGTCTTGACCCAGGGCGCCTAAGCTGTTCAGTTCAAAACATGGGCTGGCGCGGCGGATCGGAATGTATTGAATGTGCAATGGGATTGACGACGCCTGTTTGTTTCATGCGCCGCCGACACCCTGTGTACTTGCGACGATTAGCTGACAGCGCTCTCGTCTTATCGGGTTTAGGGCGGGGAACCGATCCTACAAATCACACGAAAATGTCTATATCACCCGTGTTATCCACCTCGGGATACTACTGGTCTCATCACCGCAAACTGCGCGGTTCGCTTCTTGATTGTTCTTCTCGAGTGTGCCCATCACTCTCCATTAGAAGGCGGGGAGAGGAGGAGAAGGAGAATGCTGAGAGGGAACAGCGAAGAAAAGGAACAGAGGAGGGGGGGGAGGAGGACGAGCGAGCGAGCGAGAGAGCAAGCGACCGACCGACCGACCGAAGAAAAAGGAGGCCTCGCTCGATCGGAAGCAAGACACTAGACCTCGCCATTCCTGGGAGGCTGCGAACTGCGAAGTTGTCGCCACGTTCGAGGGCTGCCCGGGGGTGGCAGCGGAGTGACGCCTGACGGCAGACTCAGATCAGACCTCGCAATCTCAGGGGCGCTGCGATCTGCGAAAGTGTCGCCACGCTCGAAAGCTGCTGGAAGCCCAACGCAGTGGCGCCATACCCATGGGTGACGGAGTCATCATCGACGCGGGGTGCAAGGACGACGATTACCTGGACAGCCTGTAGTTGCATCTCTACGTGATGCCCTCCAGGACGACCCACGAAAGCCGACCATGTCCTGATGATGCGGGACCCGGGCTTGCGGTTCCCTTTTCGCGGGCCGCTCGCGGACCTCATGGCGCGCCTGCGCGCTTGTACCCCCACGAAAAAATGCGGGTAGGAGGCCAGGTTGCTGGCAGTGCAGCTCGGCCCCGCGCAGGTCCTGCCTTGACTATAACTGCGTACCATGCCTCGAAACATCGTCCCTTTCTTTCCTATGTCATCATCTCGCCGCCACCCCAATCCTGGTGCCGTTTCCCCTGGCCGCTGCCTAGTTTGTTTTTCAGCTACCCGTCTGCCTTCTCGCCTTAGTCCGCGCCCTCTTCCACTGCGAACGAAGGAGATACCGAACTACCACAATCAAGTCCTTGTCCATCGATCGGCGTCCTGCGAAGTCGACAGATTGCGAGTTTCCTTGGCGTCGCTCGCAATATATTTAAGGTCCTTGCCACGTCATCATCCGAAATCAAGTATGTATTTCCAACTGTTCTGGCCACACGTTACGCAAGGGGTTGAATACACCGCCCGTGTATTTGCTCGCGCGCGGGGGGGCGGGGGGATCCAGAGGCGCACGTCGCCGGGGCTGGACCTCCGTCGACATGTTGGTCGGGACGCGGCCCTATAAATGTCTGGAGGCGACAAGGAGAGGGCATGACGACCTTCACGCCTGGCGCATACGCGGAACAACTCCCAAAAAAAACCTGCGACGCACCCGACCCATCTGCGTTAAATGACAAGGGGAGCCGGTCCCGTCCAGAATAATTTGGCAGATGCAACACAGGATATGTCATTGGTGGCGCAAGCTATATAGAAGGCGCACGCAGCAAAACAGGAGGACTGAGGCCACAGGCTACGAGAGGAAGTGGAGGTGGGAACCAGGGACAGGAGAAGCGCGGAGGAGGAACCGGGAAATGAACGCGACGGCCACATTGAGACGGCGAAGCCGGAAAAGGACGACAACAAAACAAGCAGGACGAGGAAAAACGGTGGCGGCCACTTTTACATTGCACGCTGGACAAGCAGCGCGGCCCGCGCCATGCCCTCTGGCGCTCTAAAGGATCAGCTGTTCATAGCTGGTGCAATAAGCGAGCGAGGCCGACCTCAACCACAATGTTCTCGGCTTCCGTCCTGCACCGTGCAGCGCGGGAGCTAGACGCCCGCAGGCGCGTCGCCAGGTCTTCGGGACCCGCGGGACGTCACTCCGCTGGACCCCCCAGCAGCCCCCGAAACTGGCGATCGCAGATCCCAGGCTCGCAGGGATGGCGAGGGCTAAGTTACATGTTCGCGCGGGATCTCACTCCGCTGGACACCCCAGCAGCCCTCGAAAGTGGCGCCAACTTCGCAGATCGCAGCCGAGGTCGAATTCAGATCCGCGTGGGGCATCGCTCCTCAGCCCTCAAAAGTGGCGACGACTTCGCTGATCGCAGCCCCCAAGGAATGGCGAGGTCTAATTTCGGTCCGCATGGGGCGTCACTCCGCTGGACCCCTCGGCAGCCCCCGAACATTGTGACAACTTCACAGGTCGCAGCCACCCCAAGGATGGAGAGGTCTAAATTAGATCCGCGTGGAGTGACTCGGCTGGACCCCCTAGCAGATCGCAGCACCTCGAAAGTTGCGACAGTTTCGCAGATCGCAGCACCCCAGGGATGTCGAGGTCAACCTTAGGTCTGCGTGGGTCATCGCTCCGCTCGACCCCTAGCAGCCCTCGAACGTGGCGACGGTTTTGCAGATCGCAGACCACAGGGATGGCGAGGTCTGATCTGAGGTCTGCGTGGGGCGTCACTCCGCTGTCCGCTGGACCCCCTCAGCAGCCCTCGAAAGTGGCGACAACTTCGCAGACCGCGGCCCCCCAAGGATGGAGAGGTCTGACGTATGTCCGGGTGGGACGTCACTCCGCTGGACCCCCCAGCAGACCGTGAAAGTGGCGACATCTTCGCAGATCGCAGCCCCCCCCCCCAAAGATGGCGAGGTCTACTCTAGGTCCGCGTGGGGCGTCACTCCGCGGGACCCCACAGCAGCCCTCGAAAATGGAGACAACTTCGCAGATCGCAGCCCCCAAGGGATGGCGACGTATATTTCTGGTCCGCGTGGGGCGTCACTCGACTGGACCCCCAGCCGCCCTGGAACGCGGCGACAGAGATCGCAGCCCCCCAGGGATGGCGAGGTCTACATTCGGTCCGCATGGGGCGCCACTTCGCTGGACCCCTCAGCCGCCCTCGAAAGCTGCAACAATTTCGCAGATCGCAGCACCCCAGGGATGGCGAGCGGTAAGGCGTCTCTCCGCTGGACCCCCCAGCAGCCCTCGAAAGTGGCGACAAACTTCGCAGTTCGCAACCCCCCTAAGGGATGGCGAGGTCTGATCTGAGTCTGCGGTAAGGCGTCACTCCGCTGGACCCCCCAGCAGCCCTCGAAAGTGGCGACAACTTCGCAGTTCGCAGCCCCCCTAAGGGATGGCGAGGTCTGATCTGAGTCTGCGGTAAGGCGTCACTCCGCTGGACCCCCCAGCAGCCCTCGAAAGTAGCGACAACTTCGCAGTTCGCAGCCCCCCTAAGGGATGGCGAGGTCTGATCTGAGTCTGCGGTAAGGCGTCACTCCGCTGGACCCCCCAGCAGCCCTCGAAAGTAGCGACAACTTCGCAGTTCGCAGCCCCCCTAAGGGATGGCGAGGTCTGATCTGAGTCTGCGGTAAGGCGTCACTCCGCTGGACCCCCCAGCAGCCCTCGAAAGTAGCGACAACTTCGCAGTTCGCAGCCCCCCTAAGGGATGGCGAGGTCTGATCTGAGTCTGCGGTAAGGCGTCACTCCGATGCACCCCCCAGCAGACCTCGAAAGTGGCGACAACCTCGCAGTTCGCAGCCCCCCAGGGATGGCGAGGTCTGATCTGAGTCTGCGGCAAGGCGTCATTCCGCTGAACCCCCAGCAGCCCTCGAAAGTGGCGACAATTTCGCAGTTCGCAGCCCCCCTAAGGGATGGCGAGGCCTGATCTGAGTCTGCGGTAAGGCGTCACTCCGCTGGGCCCCCCAGCAGCCCTCGAAGGTGGCGACAAACTTCGCAGTTCGCAGCCCCCAAGGATGGCGAGGTCTGGTCTGAGTTTGCGGCAAGGCGTCACTCCGCTGGACCCCGCAGCAGCCATAGAAAGTGGCGACAGCTTCGCAGTTCGCAGCCCCCCAGGGATGGCGAGGTCTGATCTGAGTCTGCAGTAAGGCGTCACCCCACTGCACCCCCCAGCAGCCCTCGAAAGTGGCGACAACTTCGCAGTTCGCAGCCTCATCTGAGTCTGCGGTAAGGCGTCATTCCGCTGGACCCCCAGCAGCCCTCGAAAGTGGCGACTACTTCGCAATTCGCAGCCTCCCAGGGATGGCGGGGTCTGATCTGAGCCTGCGGTAAGACGTCACTCCGCTGGACCCCCCGACAGCCCTCGAAAGTGGCGACAACTTCGCAGTTCGCAGCCCCCCAAGGATGGCGAGGTCTGATCTGAGTCTGCGGAAAGGCGTCACTCCGCTGGACCCCCCAGCAACCCTCGAAAGTGGCGCCAGCTTGGCAGATCGCAGCCCCCCTAAGGGATGGCGAGGTCTGATCTGAGTCTGCGGTAAGGCGTCACTCCGCTGGACTCCCCAGCCGCCCTCGAAAGTGGCGACCATTTCGCAATTCGCAGCCCCCCAGGGGCGGCGAGGTCTGATCTGAGTCTGCGGTAAGGCGTCACTCCGCTGCACCCCCCAGCCGCCCTCGAAATTGGCGACTACTTCGCAGATCGCAGCCCCCCAGGGGCGGCGAGGTCTGATCTGAGTCTGCGATAAGGCGTCACTCCGCTGGACCCCCCAGCAGCCCTCGAAAGTGGCGACAACTTCGCAGTTCGCAGCCCCCCAGGGATGGCGGGGTCTGATCTGAGTCTGCGGTAAGGCGTCACTCCGCTGGAACCCCCAGCAGCCCTCGAAAGTGGCGACAACTTCGCAGTTCGCAGCACTGCGGTAAGGCGTCACTCCGCTGACCCCCCAGCAGCCCTCGAAAGTAGCGACAACTTCGCAATTCGCAGCCCCCCAGGGGCGGCGAGGTCTGATCTGAGTCTGCGGTAAGGCGTCACTCCGCTGGACCCCCCAGCAGCCCTCGAAAGTGGCGCAAGCTTCGCAGATCGCAGCCCCCCCACAGGGTGGCGAGGTCTGATCTGAGGTCTGCGGCAAGGCGTCAATATGTTGGAGCCCCCAGCAGCCCTCGAAATTGGCGACTACTTCGCAGTTCGCAGCCCCCGAAGGGCAGCGAGGTCTGATCTGAGTCTGCGGTAAGGCGTCACTCCGCTGGGCCCCCCAGCAGCCCTCGAAATTGGCGACTACTTCGCAGATCTTAGCCCCCCAAGGGTGGCGAGGTCTGATCTGAGTCTGCGGTAAGGCGTCACTCCGCTGGACCCCCCCCAGCAGCCCTCGAAAGTGGCGACAGCTTCGCAGTTCGCAGCCCCCCAGGGATGGCGAGGTCTGATCTGAGTCTGCGGTAAGGCGTCAATATGTTGGAGCCCCCAGCAGCCCTCGAAATTGGCGACTACTTCGCAGTTCGCAGCCCCCCAGGTATGGCGAGGTCTGATCTGAGTCTGCAGTAAGGCGTCACTCCGCTGGACCCCCCAGCAGCCCTCGACAGTGGCGACAACTTCGAAGATCGCAGCACTGCGGTAAGGCGTCACTCCGCTGGACTCCCCAGCAGCCCTCGAAAGTAGCGACCGGTTCGCAGATCGCAGCCCCCCAGGGGCGGCGAGGTCTGATCTGAGTCTGCGGTAAGGCGTCACTCCGCTGGGGCCCCCAGCAGCCCTCGAAAGTGGCGCCAGCTTCGCAGATCGCAGCCCCCCAGGGATGGCGAGGTCTGATCTGAGTCTGCGGTAAGGCGTCACTCCGCTGGACCCCCCAGCAGCCCTCGAAAGTGGCGACAGCTTCACAGTTCGCAGCCCCCCGGGATGGCGAGGTCTGATCTGAGTCTGCAATAAGGCGTCACTCCGCTGGACCCCCCAGCAGCCCTCGAAAGTGGCGACAACTTCGAAGATCGCAGCACTGCGGTAAGGCGTCACTCCTCTGGACCCCCCAGCAGCCCTCGAAGTTGGCGACTACTTCGCAGATCGCAGCCCCCCAGGGGCGGCGAGGTCTGATCTGAGTCTGCGGTAAGGCGGCACTCCGCTGGACCCCCCAGCAGCCCTCGAAAGTGGCGCCAGCTTCGCAGATCGCAGCCACCCAAGGGTGGCGAGGTCTGATCTGAGTCTGCGGTAAGGCGTCACTCCGCTGGACCTCCCAGCAGAGGGGGGCGAGGTCTGATCTGAGTCTGCGGTAAGGCGTCACTCGGCTGGGCCCCCCAGCAGCCCTCGAAAGTGGCGACAACTTCGCAGATCGCAGCCCTGCGGTAAGGCGACACTCCGCTGGACCCCCCAGCAGCCCTCGAAAGTGGCGACAACTTCGCAGTTCGCAGCCCCCCAGGGATGGCGAGGTCTGATCTGAGTCTGCGGTAAGGCGTCACTCCGCTGGGCCCCCCAGCAACCCTCAAAAGTGGCGACAGCTTCGCAGATCGCAGCTCCGCCAGGGATGGCGAGGAGGCAGGGTAGAAGGAAAATAGCAGGCAGGGCAGAAGGCGGGCAGGAGGCAAGGTAGCAGGCAGGTGAGAAGGGGTGGAAGAGGAGGACGGAGGCGGGAGAAGGAGGTCGTTCAACCCAGCGCAGGAGGGTTGGGGAAACTCTCCCGACGGCACGGCCCCACTTCTCAGAAGACGCGGGGGCTTCTGAGAAGTCCCGCGGCCTTCCGAGAAGGCCTTCTCCCTCTCACTTCCCCCCCTCGCATAGCGGCGTGGCCCGGGCCCGCGCCTGGCCCGCGCCCGAGCCGGGCCAGCCAGCCCACGAAAAGGCCACCGCCCCCCTTCCAGCTCCAGGCCTGCCCCCCGCCGCGTGATAACAAACAAATATCTGGCTCATCCCCTCGAGGGAAGGGACTCCACCACGCTGTGCGGCAGCCAGGGATGAGGAGGAGGAGGAGGAGAGGAGGAGGAGGAGGAGGAGGAGGAGGAGGAGGAGGAGGAGGAGGAGGAGGGAGGAGGAGGAGGGGAGGAGGAGGAGGAGGAGGAAGAGGAGGAGGACGAAGGAGGGGAGGAGGAGAGGAGGAGGAAGGAGGAGGGGAGGAGGGGGAGAACGAAGAGGAGGAGGAGGAGGAGGAGGAAGAGGAGGAGACGGAGGAGAAGGAGGGGAGGGAGGGAGGGGAGTGGAGGCGGAGAGGAGAGGAGAGGAGAGCATGAGGAGTGGAAAAAAACATGTGAGGAGAGCGAGAGAAAGGGAGGAGATCAGAGGAGGATAAGAAGAGGAGAGGAGAGGAGAGAGAGGGGAGGGGGGGGCGGAGAGGGGAGGGGAGTGGAGGGGGCGGGGGGGGCGAGGAGGGGGCGGGGAGGGGAGGGGAGGGGGCGGGGCGGGGCGGGGCGGGGCGGGGAGGGGAGGGGAAGAAAGGCGAGGAGAGGAGAGGACAGAAGAGAGGAGACGAAGAGGTCCATCCCTGCCTGCTGCCCTCTAAGAAAATCCCTGGGCGCTCCCCCCCGGGCACCTGTAACGTCGCTGCCGCGGTCCACGACGACCTCGCGCTCTCTCCTGCTCCCCTTCCTTGTGCATTCCCTCCATGCGCTGAGATGCCCTAGGAGTGGTGCGAGTCCAATGCCGCAGCAACAAAGATACAGCCAAACGATGTTTGTTAATGGACAGGGACGATTCAGAAAGTAGTTGTTTCTCGTCTGGGTGGGTGGCTGCAGCCTGGCGGCCTCGACGGCGACGACGACGAAGATCCGATAATACATATTTTTGAATATATGTATACATCAGAGTGAGGGGGCCGAACGCTCATTCTTTGTTCCCGGGTGCGTGGCTGAATTTGGGGATCCGCGGGGAGGATTCGTGTTGTTGTTGTTGGTGTGGTGTCGTCCCCGCCCCAACCCGCCCGCGACCCACCCGCGACCCACCCGCGACCCACCCCGCGACCCACCCGCCGGTGACCCGCCCGTGACCCACCCGCGACCCACCCCGCGACCCACCCCGCGACCCACCCGCGATGCACCCCGCGACCCACAGCGCGACCCACCCCGCGACACACCCCGCGATCCACCCCGCGACCCACCCGCGACCCATACGCAACCCATCCGTGACCCATCCGCAACCTTGCCTGCGGCCCACCTGCGACCCACCCGCGACCCACCCCGCGATCCACCCACATTGCTTTAACGAAGAAATCGGCGCCTGCGGCGGGCTCACTGCATAATTTGTAAAAGTTAGGCGCCTGCGGCGGGCTTCTTCAGAGCCTCGCAGACTGACGACGTCCGCGTCGCCCCCTCACTCTTATCCGCAACTGCGGGGTGCTACGCTGTTATCTGTTATCGTCCACTTCCCAACGGGGCACTGCAACCCCCTCCCAAACCCCGGCAATTATTTAGCGTTGGTCCGCACTACGTCATGATGAACCTTGTACAATCAAATGGAGGGGAATGCTGAAGCGGATAACACAGGAGTCCTGCGTTGGGTTGAAGGGAGAGAAATTCCAGAGAAGAGGGAAGGGAGGCGTAGTGGGAGGGAGGAGAGCGAGGAATGATCAAGGGAAGGTAGAGAAGTGCGAGGATGATGATGACGACGACTACGGTGCGAAGGCAGGCGGCGATGAGTACGAGCAGGGGGAGGAAGATCAGGGCAAACCCAAGACTCATAAAAGATGGTGCATACGCCCTCCCGTCCCAAGTCCCTTCATTCTGAAAAAGGGAAAGCCCTCCAACCATGTGACTGTTGCACATTGCTACGAACTGGATAGGACCGTCAAGCGAGAGCCCCGGCTCAACAAAGAGACACCCTCCATCCGTGTGATCGTCTGACATGCCTAGGTTCTGGGGTACGACGCATTCGGAGGCACTTCGAGCGAGAGACCTCATAAGTTCCTTCTTCGAGAAAACCAGCCGCCCTCCACTGACTCGTGCACATATGCTGCCGATGCGTGACACTCACACCTGAACAGCACCCGCCCTCCGTCCGGGCAGAGCCGGAAGAGACGCGCTCAACGAATGCGCGCGGCGCTGGCGGGAGAGCTCCTCCCTCCTTCTCCCTCCTCCTCCCTCCTCGTCCTCCCTCCTCCTCCCTCCCCCTCCCTCCTCCTCCCCTCTCCTCCTTCTCCTCCTCCTCCTCCTCCTCCTCCTCCTCCTCCTCCTCTGCATCCTCGTCGTCGTCGTCGTCGTCGTCGTCCGGGGTCGGCGGCACCGGCCGTACAGTATAGGCTCGACCAGGACGTCCATAGACGTCCATAGATTTTTGGCGTGGGAACGTCACGCTTTCCACGGCAAAAACATCGAAACCCGAGAAACCCACGGCATCCTGGAGGCAAGCTGGGTGTTTCTTGGCATGGGCCCCCACTGGAAGCAAGTCTCAGGCGAAACGCCTAGACCGTCCTCAGTGGCTCGACGAGCAGAAGGACTCATTTACGATGAGGAGGGATGGAGGATCAGGAAGAAGTGAAAGAGGAAGTGGAAGCCGGACCTCCAGACCTCAGACCAAGCGTCGAGCGTAGAATCTGCAAGCTGGTGCGGTTGCGAGTCAGGAGGATACGCCAGCACTTCCTGCTGGGCGAGAACCTTTGAAGTGGCGTGAGCCCTGCTAGCCCTAGAAGAAAGAATTCTGTCGCCCAGGAGCTCCAGGCCATCTCCGCATCAAGACGAGCCGCAGCTAGGTAGCGGCCAAGACGCCGGGCTCATTGCAAGTCCTGCGCCTACGAGGCTGCCAAGTCATCCAGTGCCCCTTGTCACCTAAAAGCCCAGTGGACACCAAGTCGCAGCGACCCGTCAGCTCATGGACCACGCCGTGGAGCACAGCATCCCAAATGTCCGCAAAGTCCTGGACCACGTTGACGGACTCGCACAGCCCACGCAGTCGATTCGGTTTGCCGTCGATCGGACAATTTGCGCTGGCACTGCAGCCGCCGCCCGCGCAAACGCCCAGCCGGCTGCGACGCGTCGCCCGCGTCGCCGGCCAGCACACGTGAAGGACGTGGCACCAGGACTCGGAGAACGTGGCGTGGGGGGCGGGAAAAAAGGGAGAGGACAACATGCTTCCACTGCTGGCGCCGAAACATGGGTGTCGCCACACGCCAGAGAGGCCAAGTTGAAAGACGTCGAGATGAGGCCGGCGAGGTACGGCACGAGCCTATGTATCGAGGAATGGGCCCGGCGGCGGGGCCGAAACCAGCTGCATGCAGCAGATGTCGTAACCCCCCCTTTCCATATCCCCCCCTTTCGTTCGGCCCGAGTCATCTCTTTGGGGCGCATTTTTTCCTTCCGCCACCGACCGCCCTTCCGCCAGCTTCCGCTGGCTTCCGCCAGCGGAGGCGATCTCGTTTTGCTTCCGCCGCCCTTCCGCCGCCGTCCGCCGCGGAAAAGAGGTGCCAACTCCTCCGATCCTCAAATTAAGGCGAGGCCCTTTCTGGAGTGCCTCACGTATCTGAATGGCCCTGGGACACACACAAATAAATACACACAAATGACAGGATTCCCCATATTTTCCCATCTTTTCTGGGCTTCCATTTTTTCTTGGAGAATCGACGATTAATTGTGTCTGTGTGTTTTTGTTCCCTCCTGAAATCCCTTTGACGGGGTCGTTCCGCTCCTGCTCCCTATGGGGAGAGGGCGAAACCTCGCAGTTCTCGAGCATGTCCTTGCTGACGCAGCAGGTCCACCAGGGCACGGCGGCCCCAGCGGCGCCTTGGCCTGCCCAGGGAGCGCGCCCCCGCCAGCCCCGCCCCTTCCCCGCAGCGCACAAGCCGCCCGCGGCGGAGGCGCGCTGGCGGCCTATTCCTTCCGGTTCCGCCTTTTTCTTCCTCCTCCTCCTCCTCCTCCTCCTCCTCCTCCTCCTCCACCTTTTTACTCCTCCTCACCTCCTCCTCCTCCTCTCCCTCCTCCTCCTCTCTTCCTCTCCTCCTCCGCATCCCCTCCTCCTCCTCTCTCCTCTCCTCCCTCCCTCCTCCTCACCTCTCCTCGCCACCTCCTCTCCCTCCTCTCCTCACCTCTTGCCTCCTTCCCTCCTCCTCCTCCTCTCATCCTCCTCTCCTCCTCCTCCTCCTCCTCCTCCTCTCTCCTCTCCTCTCTCCTCCTCTCCTCCTCCTCCTTCCCTCCTGATCCTGAACTCCTATTCTCGTCCTCCTCCTCCTCCTCCTCCTCTCTTCTCCTCCTCCTCTCCTTCCCCTCCTGATCCTGAACCTCCTATTCCTCGTCCTCCTCCCCTCCTCCTCCTCCCCTCCTCCTCCTCCTCTCATTCCTCCTCCTCCTCCTCCTCCTCCTCCTCCTCCTCCTCCTTATTCTCTCCCTCTGGTCAAATCCGGCTCGGGCGAACGTCGGCCCCGGCGTCGAACAAGACTGCTGCACGCAACAGGGGTAAGCACCAGGAAATGAGGTGGCAAAAGAGAGCTGGAAAATCCGCCGCTCCGGCGTGTGAGTTTAAGAAAGCTACAACCTGAGCTTCAGCTCTGCTGGGGGGGGCGGGGTGGCTCTGCCGGGGTAGGGGGGGAGGGGGGGGGGTCATGGGGTCCACCCTTTCTTCCCCCCCCCCCCGGGAATCCCAAACCGCCCCAAGACGGGCCAAAAGGGGCCCAGGAGGCCACCAAGACGGTCCAGGAGGCGCCCGAAACGGCCCAAGAGCGCTCCTGGACGCCCAAGATGGCCTGAAGACGGCCCAAGAGGCCTCCAAGACGCCTGAAGGATCCCAAGAGGACCCCCAAGAGGGCCCCAAGACGGTACAATAATAAAGTTGCTAATAGGTTTTGAAGCATTTTAACATTATCGCCTTCTCCGTCTTAGAAGCGCCGAAGACGGTCCAAGAGGCCCCCAAGATCGCCCCAAGACAGCCCAAGAGGCCCCCAAGAGGAGCCAAGACGGTCCAAGAGGGCCCCAATATAGCCCTGGAGGCCCCCCAAGACGACCCCGAGAGGCCTCCAAGATGGCCTCAAGAGGGTGAATCCGAACGGACCCTTCTAGTCCTCCAACCCAAGATGACCCCAAGAGCCCCCAAGATGCCCCCGAGGCGCCCCCAAGGGGCCCCCAGAGGCCCCCGAGAGGTCCCCAAGAGGCCCCCAAGAGGACCCCGAGAGGCCCCCAAGAGGCCCCCAAGAGGACCCCGAGAGGCCCCCAAGAGGCCCCAAAGGCCCCCAAGAAGCCTCAAGAACCAAGAAGCCCCAAGAGGCGCTCACTCGCGTGCTGCCAGGCCAGAGGTGCACGGCCTCACTTGGTATTGCTCGGAAGCGACAGCGATGAACAAAGAACCTTCCACTCGTCGCCGTCACCAGTCGTCGGTCGTCGGCCGTCGGAAGCCGTTCGCCGTCAGTCGTCGTCGTCGTCGTCGTTTCGTCGTCGTCGTCGTCGTCGTCGTCGTCGTCGTCGTCGTCGTCGTCGTCGTCGTCGTCGACGTCGTCGTCGACGTCGTCGTCGTCGATTCCTCGCCATTAACTCCTTCGTCGGTCGTCGTCGTAATTATCCCGCTCGTCGACCGTTGGTCGTCCGTTGTCGTCGTCATCGTCCAGTTCAGCAACAATAGCATCAAGAGCGCCCCAGATCGGCGGCACTGGCCGTAGGCGACTACAATACGATAAAACCGCCAGGGCACGTCTCCCAAGAGGCTCCCAAAAGGCTCCCAAGAGACCCCAAAATTTCTCCCCTGAGGCCTCCGAGGGACTTCCGAAGAGACCCCGAAAAGCATCCGTGAGGACTCTGGCCCACGTCAGCGTCGTCGCTGCCGCCGCCGTCGTCGTTGTCGTCGTCGTCGTCTCCGTTCAGTGTCGACGGCACCGGCCGTAAGGCCTTCGCAATATGAGAAATCCGCCAGGGCACGTCTTGGTAATGCAACTTGCAGATGGGCGTTGGAGAAGGACCGACAGGAGCAGAACACCATGGAAGGTGGGAGGGGGGCCGAAAGTCGACAGTGACCGAACTTCTGTACAACAGCATGCTGGGAACATCTGGCTGTCGTTGCCTGCGCAGGCGGATCTGTTGATGTACAAACGCGCCGCACTCGAAAGCCCCCCAAAAATACCCTGGGTTAGTGGCTGGCAGGGTGCTGCACATTGAAATGCGCATGCTGCTACGATGCATGCAAGTATAAGAGTGATGACATCAGGTTTTGAGTGGAAGCCGCTGGCGCCGTGGCTGCAGGTGGCAAGTTCATGCGGGCACGCTGGACCGACAAGGGAGCACCGAAGAGGGGCCGAACAGCATCAAGAAGAAAAGTGAATAGGTCAACTGGCGCTGTCTGTAAACAGTGCGGGCGCGGCCGCGAGAAACCCTCGCGAAAAACCCAACACTGAGAACCCGGCGCGAGGTGCACCTGAGGGGAAACCTGGAGCACCCTGAACGCAGCAGCTTCTTCAACGGCTGCGGGAGGTCACCGCGCAGCGCGAGGAGCGAAGAAACCCAGATACCCTGACGAAAAGCATACGTATGGTTTCTTGATGCGCGCCCCCACTGTGCTGTAAATGGTGGGCGTGCGCGCGTGCGTGTCATCTCCAGGCCTCGCTGTACAAGTGGTAAGCTACGTGGCGCATGCGAAGCAAGGCCTAACAATGTAAAGCAGCGCAAAGCAATGCAAGTCAAGCAATGGAAATCCGTGCACGGCAATACAAGGTAACAAACAGATATGTAAAAGGACGCAGAGCGATGCGAAGCAGTGCAGAACAATGCAAAGTGATGCCGAGGATTGGCAAGAAATGCAAAGCAGTGCAGAGCAGTGCGAAGCAAGGCGAAGCAATGTGCACAGCAACGCGACACGATGCAGAGCAAGGCAGAGCTACGCGAAGCAGTGCGAAGCAAATCGAGCCGGGAGGCGACGAGGCGACGGGCGGCGACAGGGCGGCGACGAGGCGGCGACTGGGCGGTCCGAGCGGCCCGCGGGCCCGGGCGACGAGCGGCGGCGGGCGGCGGCGAGGCGGCGACACGCCGGCCAGAGCGGCCCGGCGGCGGGCGGCGGCGAGCAGCGACGAGGCGGCGGCGAGGCGGCGACGAGGCGGCGACGGGGCGGCCAGAGCGGCCCACGGGCCCAGTTCGTCGGGGGAGGAGCGAAAAAACACAGGTGCAAGCGCTCTGGGGGGCGGGAACCTGATACAGTCAACCCGTCTAGTAAGGATGCGCGGTAAGGATGCAAGGGCCTTGAAGGGCCACGTTAACGTTTTTCGAACGAGGTTGGCCAGCCAAAGCGGCCAAGGATGGACCGAGGAGGCAAGGATGCAAGGGTACCTTTGGGAAGGTTCCCCGTCCTTACTTTGCGGGCTGACTGTAACGCAAGTTGGTGATCAAGATCCTCAAGGACACCCTGGTCGGCGGGTGGCAGAGGCTTCGGCGCAGTGGGAAAGGATGGGCGGGAGGATCGGGATGTCAGGTGTGGCGCGAGTGCATGCAGCTCGGCCTGGCTGCAGGATGTTCGACCCCTAACCCAAAAAAATACTGACCATGCTGGACTGTCGCTGTATTGTTAATCATGGGCCACGTCTACATGCCACCCCTTGGCAAAAACCTTGCCCCGATTCAAGGCCGCCGCGAGGAGGTTTGGTTCGGGAAATTCACGCATCGATGGCTCTCCCTCCCTCTCCCTAGCTCTCTGTATTTCTCTCTCTGACGCTGGCCAAAGAGGGGTACATCCCTCCCTCCAGGACCCCTCGTCTCCTCTGCTCCGCCTCGCTCCCGTCCTGTCGTCTGTTCCTGCTCGCCCATCCGCTGCACCCCTCCCCCCTCAAGAGAATCCCCCCCGGACCTCTGCTGGGGCACGCTCTGGCCAGCACTTCAGGGCGGATCCGGCCGTGGCGACGAGAAGCCCCCTGAGGGCAGAATTACCCTGCGACGTACCCAACCCACGTGCATCAAATGGCAAGAAGAGTATGCCAACATTAGCAGGAACAACGACAGTGTAGACGCGGCGATTTGCTGCGCAAGCTACATGGGATGCGCATGCGCTGCACGATTCACAGGACGACGATCGAAAGAACGAGGCTTGAGGCCCCAGGATCGAAGAAGAACGGGTACGGGAACGAGGGGTAGGAGAGGGATGGAATGGAGGGCGGGGGGGGCGAAAGGCCATCGCGGAAGCAGCAGCACGCATGGAGAAAGTGAGGCGGGGAATAGGACGACGATGAAAGTGGCGGGAGGAGACAGAAGACTGCCGCGTTTTCCAAGTGCGAGCTAAACCCGCAGCGCTGCCTGCGCCATGTCGTCGCAGAGTTCCACCTGATAAAACTAGTTTAGAGCGCAAGGAACGAGCGAGGCGTAGCTCGCCCGCTAGCTTCTCCGCCTCCTTCCCGCACATTTCAGCGCGGGAGCTGAACGCTCGCAGGCGCGCCGCCAGGTCTGCGGGCGGCCCGCGGGAAAGAAACTCAAGGCCGGGGTCGCGCATCATCAATCGGTTGTCCATCGTCCAAAGTTGCACTGGCGACGTACTGGTTGAACGCGGAGCGAGCAGCATCACGCGCGTGCCTGAACGCCACGCAGGTACAGTGCACGCGCGATTGGGACTTCAGGTCGATCACGCGCGTCTCCACCAAGCTTGGCAACACCACGCGACTGAGGATCTCACTGCGGTCTGCCATGCTGCTGTCCGCGAATGCAATGCGCTGCCTGCAAGTAAGGCGGCGGCGTCCACTTGTCTCAGAAGATGTTCCCGCGGGCCCGAAGGGCGACCGCCAGCTCGAGCCGCGGCGCCGGCAGGCCAGATAAGGATCATGCAACAGCAAAGACGATGACAGAGCAACGAGGTATCGGCGAGTGCATGACCGGCCTCCGTTTCCTGCACTTCTTTCCTGTAGTTCCCCTAGCTCATCGAGCTCAGCAGATGTTTCTGCGGGTCCGAAGGACGACCGCCAGCTCGAGTCGCAGCGCCGACGAGCTGCATCCACATCAGGCAACACCCCAGGAGACACTGGCACACAACGATTTGACGTCAGTCAGTGCCAGACCACTCCATGTCTAGTTCCTCGCACACATACAGTCGATCGCAGATGCGGGATAATCGAAGTAGAATGACGGGTCCAATCTGCGTCCGCGTAGGACGTCACTATGCTGGACCCCGCAGCAGGTCTCGAAAGTGGCGACAGTTTCATGGGCCCCACAGCAGCCCTCGAAAGTGGCGACAGTTTCACAGATCGTAGCCCCCCAGCGCTGGCGAGGTCTAATCTGAGTCCCCGTAGGACGTCACTCCGCTGGCCCCCCAGCAGCCTTCGAAAGTGGCGACAGTTTCACAGATCGCAGCCCCCCAGGGATGGCGAGGTCTAATCTGTATCCCCGTAGGGCGTCACTCCGCTGGGCCCCCCACGCAGCCTTCGAAAGTGGCGACAGTTTCACAGATCGCAGCCCCCCAGGGATGGCGAGGTCTAATCTGAATCCCCGTAGGGCGTCACTCCGCTGGGCCCCCCAGCAGCCTCGAAAGTGGCGACAGTTTCACAGATCGCAGCCCCCCAGGATGGCGAGGTCTAATCTGAATCCCCGTAGGGCGTCACTCCGCTGGCCCCCCAGCAGCCCTCGAAAGTGGCGACAGTTTCACAGATCGCAGCCCCCCAGGGATGGCGAGGTCTAATCTGATCCCCGTAGGGCGTCACTCCGCTGGGGCCCCCAGCAGGCCTCGAAAGTGGCGACAGTTTCACAGATCGCAGCCCCCCAGGGATGGCGAGGTCTAATCTGAATCCCCGTAGGGCGTCACTCCGCTGGGCCCCCCAGCAGCCTCGAAAGTGGCGACAGTTTCACAGATCGCAGCCCCCCAGGGATGGCGAGGTCTAATCTGAATCCCCGTAGGGCGTCACTCCGCTGGGCCCCCCAGCAGCCTCGAAAGTGGCGACAGTTTCACAGATCGCAGCCCCCCAGGGATGGCGAGGTCTAATTTGAAGGGACTGTGCTGGGCCCCCCAGCAGCCTCGAAAGTGGCGACAGTTTCACAGATCGCAGCCCCCCAGGGATGGCGAGGTCTAATCTGAATCCCCGTAGGGCGTCACTCCGCTGGGCCCCCCAGCAGCCTCGAAAGTGGCGACAGTTTCACAGATCGCAGCCCCCCAGGGATGGCGAGGTCTAATCTGAATCCCCGTAGGGCGTCACTCCGCTGGGCCCCCCAGCAGCCTCGAAAGTGGCGACAGTTTCACAGATCGCAGCCCCCCAGGGATGGCGAGGTCTAATCTGAATCCCCGTAGGGCGTCACTCCGCTGGGCCCCCCAGCAGGCCTCGAAAGTGGCGACAGTTTCACAGATCGCAGCCCCCCAGGGGTAAGAGCAAGAGAAGAGAGGAGGAGGCGGGAAGGAAGGAAGGAAGGAAGGAAGGTGGAGACCGCACTGCTCTATTCAAAACAAGTACCCAACGCAGGAGGGTTGGGAAAAAGCACAGAAAAGCGCAAAGATCTCGAGCCTCGGTCCTCGATCACCCCTCTCCCCCTCTGGCCCATCCGTCCCTTCGACTCCTCTGCGGTTCCTCTTCTCCGCTCCGCTCATTCCCTCTCATTCCCTCCTCTCTCGTGCCGCCCTCCGGAAAAAAAAGGCCTGAATGCTCTGGCGAGCCCTTGCCGTGCCGGCCCGCCTTCTTCTTAGTCGGGTGTTCCAAAGAATCCTTATTTGCCGGGATCCGCTTGAGGATATGGATGTTCTTCCCAGCGATTTCGATCCTCGCGAGGGAGAGCAAGTGACACGGATTGGGAAAGCCCAGGGGCAGGGAAGAGGAAGGGTTCAAGGGAGCGAGGGATGAGGGCAATGGGTGTGAGCTCCTGCATAATCACGCTGTCTCCTGCTGATCGCCGCTTTCTCTCTTTCTCTCTCGTTCTCTCTCTCTCTCGCTCTCTCTCTCTCTCTCTCTCTTCTCTCGCTATATTTCTTTATGGCTATCTCTCTCTCTCTCTCTTTATATCCCTCTCTCTCTTGTTTTCCCTCATACTGTCTCTCTCGCTCTCTCTCCCTCGTTCGCTCGATCAACATGTCATATATAAATGTTTGTGCGTATACCTATAGTTTAACAAGTAGGTACGTACATATATCTGTAGATATATATATATATGTGCGTATGCGAATATATCCCACGTCTCATCCGACCGTATATGTACAAGAGAGTCCTTGCGACGCACGTGGCGAGATATCACACTTATAACGGTGAAGCCAGCGATTTGTTCATGTTAAAAACATGCACACGGATAATGTGCAAGCATTATATACATAGATGCGTCTGGATGTGCCTTCTGAGTTTACGAATATCCCGTATGCGCCTACAGTTATACTATACGACACTGTAGTATAGTATATGCACACCGGTACGTAGACACTTCTACAAATATGCACATACACACACATCCGTTGGTAATTCGCGTGGTATAGACATGCGTGCATAGTCAACATGGCACGTGTATTTATATATGTATAAACACAGTCTATGTATGCGAGAAAATGTATGTATGTATACGCATGCATGCGGGTATGTATGTGTGTATGTATGATTGCCTGCATGTCTGTATGTATGTGTGTATGGTCGTGTGTAAGCATCGTTGCATAAAGATATGTATACACGTATACGTACCTGTCTGTATATACATGTATATATGAGAAGGGTAATACGGTCCCAGGAAGCCTACAAGACGATCCAAAAAGGATCCCGAATCAACGATTCTTGCAAACTTGTCGACGGATTCGAATTCGGCGCGCGCGGCCCCCAGATGCCCCAGAGGCTTCCAAGAAACCTCGAGACGGCGCAGAAGTCCCAAAGACACGCCAGAAGCTGTGAAGCTTCAACCACGACAAGGAACTTGTCACTGGGTGCCCCTCTTTTCACGGTGGGGCTCGCCACCCCTGCCCCGAACGATGACCTTCACCCTCATCGCGGTCTTCAGCGTCGCCCCCTCGTCGCACCGACCCCTGCCTATCTCCGGCGACCCTCGCATCCTCCCCGTTCCCATTGCCCGCGGCCCACACGCTCATGGTTATAGCTTGTCGACCTCGTGACCTTCACCCACCAGGTCATCGCATCAGCCCTCCCGCTGCTGGAAGCGAATTCCGTCATGACCTTTAGCGACTGCGGGACCGTCTGTCTCGTCGCGCACGTCCTCCTCGTCGTTCTCGTGCTCCATCTCCTCTTCTTTGTCCTCGAGTCCTCTCCGTCTTTACTGCGGATCTGTCGTTTCTGTTTTTACTCCGTTGGCGCTCATGACCGCAAACCCTTGAGCGTCATGACCGCAAACCCTTCGTGGTCACCACTTCCTCCCACCTCGCATGCGTGTCTTTGGCCCCAGCACACCGATGCCCTTTCTCCCCAACCAACACATGCCAGTGGCCCGTTCCAGCAAAACGACCGTGACCCCCCTCGAGGTCATCATCTGCTCTCACTAATAACCCATTCACCGCATGGTTGGGAGTACATGGGCGCAGGACCTAAATTGAGGCGAAGCAAGCGAGCCCTCAAATCTTGTGTATATTTACATTTATGCATATACAAAAAAAGAAAACATGCCAACAACCCCGGATTTGTGTGCGCTCTCGGGCGCTTCTGGGGCACGGCCGCGTGATTTCCCCAAGAGACCAGAGAGCGCAAAGACGGTAGGACGGTCCAAGAGGGCCCAAGAGCGCTTCAAGACGCCCAAACTGGTTCAAAACGGCCCAAGAGGTCCCCAAGATGCCCCAAGGGGGCTCCAAGAGGCTTCCAAAGAGAGCCCCCAGAGGCAAAAGACAATGATTGGATGTAGGTATTTGAATTACCTTGTCGCTTTCGCCGTTTCGAGTTTTCAACGCTCCAAGACGGCCCAAGAGGATCCCAAGGTCGCCGCAATAAAGCACAAGAGGCCCCAACAGGGCCCAAAGATAGGCCCCAGCTGAACTGACACTTCGAGTCATTTGCCCAACGATGACCCTTGAGACCGCCAGAAACTGCCTCCAAGAGGCTTCCGGGAGGCCTTCCACGAGATTTCAACAGGCATCCAAGAGGCCTCTGACCCACAATAAGCACTGTAGCAGGATGGGCCGAAAGCATCAGGTTCTGTATTGGTGATTGTCTTCGTGGCGACCGCTTTGCTCTAGGGCTGGCAGTTTGCAAACCTCGAGACATCAGTAATATCCGATCATGCCGTGGCAACCGAAATAAAGAATCCTATCACGTAACGTGGGCACCTCCTCCTCCTCCTCCTCCTCCTTCTCCTCCTCCTCCTTCTCGTCATCATCCTCATACAGCAACATCATCAGCATCATCATCATCATCATCATCATCATCATCAGTAGCAGCAGCCGCAGCATCACCATTTCAATAACCATCATCATCACCCCTCCACAAGTTGATCATCCACCAGGTCCAGTCCAGGGCGCCAGGGCACGGGTGGCCACCTATCTTAACCACAGTTACACTAGATAACAAGTGCCTGATGTGTGGTACTGTATTCGCCAACGTCGACCACACGGTCCGCCACCACCGTCGATCATGGCATCAAGCTCGGTGTTTACCTAACCTTACTCGTCATGAACATGTTTACGTGCCTACTGAATCTAGACCCTGTCCGTATTCCCAGGTCTCTGATAACCACCAGTGCCAGGACGCCTTCGACAGTCTTGAATTATTTCGTGCCCATCTTGCATCCCACCTTCCGCCGTCGCCATTTGGTTCGTGGTCCCAGCCAGCGGCTACTCCTGCAGCCGCCGCGGGCGCGGCTACCCCCGCGAGGCCCTCGCCGCCTGCGGCGAGCGCGTCGTGGACTTCGTGGACACCTTCAGACACTGCTGATTCACGTGAGCAGACTCGGCAGGCTTGCTTCCGATTGCTGACTCCGCCTCCGCCGAGCCCTGCGAGTCTGCCTGCGCGGACGCGGAGACCGCGACCCAGGGCGGAGACTACTTCTCGGGCCACCACTCCAGGGACAACTACCACAAGGGCGAGTGCTGTACCCGCTCTCCCTGTTGCACCCGTTCCTCCTCCTGCCCCTCCTGCTGAACCTGCTCCTCCTGAGCGACCCGTTCAGGATGGCCAGCGGAGCCAGCGCCAGCGGGGAGGCGGTGGCGAGGGCGTCCTGGCGCCTCCCGCGGTCCTCAGCGGGGTCTGGGAGTGGTGGCAGGCAACCCAAAGGCGAAGGCTCGGGCAGGCCCCCAGCCCAGCGGGCGAAGGGCCCAGGGGGGACTATCCTTACCCCCAGGGCGGAGGGCGAGGACGACCGCATGGACGAGGACAAGGAGGACGAGGGCGAGGAGGTTCGGCGCCGCCGTCGCGGCGGGCGCCGCAGGCGAGGCAAGCACACGGACAAAGTGTGGAGCTCCACGGACAAGAACCTCGCGGACCTTCTCTTGACAATGGCCAAATTGATGCTGCAAACGTCCCATCGCTCCAGGATGACGGCGGCGGCCACGATCGACACGATCCTCTTCCCGACCACGCACAAGGTGATCATCGGCGTGGGCGACGGGGTCGAGGCCTTCCGCAACAAGGTGGAGAGCCTGCGTGGGGCGGCCGACTCGAAGAAGGCGCTGCAGGAGCTGGGGGCCCCCACCGCGGGCTTGGTGATCGACTTCCTGGAGGCGCTCATGGCGTGAGACATCGGAGGGAAGATGAAGACGGCCATCGGCGACTACCTCCAGAAGGTGAACGCGGGCGGCGAGGACGAGGACGCGATCTCCAAGGAGGACATCGAGACGGACGTCTCGCTGATCAGGCTCGAGAAGTGCTACAAGTCGACGGAGACCAAGCTCATCATCGCCATGCGGACATGGAGCCTCCGCAAGGTGGTGCTCACGTCCATCCGTAACGAGGGCGCGGGCGTGGTCCACACGGGCATCGCGCCACAGGGGTGGCTAGAGGAGGAATTGTCGTGCTGGGTCGAGACGTTGAGCAAGTGAGCGCCGAGCGGATGCAGCCCAATTTTAGGCAGCCTGTGCGTTTCGTGCGGTCCAGCTCCCCTCCTCTGTTTGGCCACACCTCTGCGCCCACTCAGGCCCGCCCGACTGAGCATGCCAGCAGCAGCAGCTCACCAGAGCCCTCTCTGCCACGAACTGCCACCAGGTTACTTGGGCATGGATTTTCCCAGGCATTACTTCAACCTCTCTCCAGCCTCCCATCGCGTGCCCAGCCCGACGATGATGCAGAGATGGACGCTGCCAGAGCACTAGGATTGGAATGAACTCAGATATTATAGAATAGCAGTCTCCGCTTAGGCCGCCTGGCGCCGCTTGAGCGTGATGGAGCACGCCGCACGTTGCGAGCTTTAGGGGAGCCCCCCTAGCCACAGGCTTACCAGCAGATGGTTCCAGCGACAGCAGACTTTTTTCTTTCTGTCCACCAGAGTGCTGACCAGTTCCAGAGCCTAGACGTGGTCGTATAAAATATCATCATCGTCATCGTCATCATCATCATCATCACCATCAGCATTACCATCATCAACATCATCACCATCATCAACAGCATCATCACCAGCGTCATTAGCAACATTATCGTCATTTTCACTCTCGTCATCATCAGCATCAGCATCATCAGCAGCATCATCACCATCATCATCAGTATCATCATCAGCATTATCGTAATAATCGTCATCATAACCATCATCAACAACATCATCAGCCGCATTAGAATCATCATCGTCATCGTCATCGTCATCGTCGCCATCATCATCAGCAGCATCATCCTTATCATCATCATGATCAGCATCATCAGCCATCACCATCATCATAACCAGCATCATCGTCATCATCATCGTCATCATCATGATCATTACCATCATCATCATCAGCATCATTATCAGTATAACCATCATCATCGTCATCATCACCATCAACAGCATCATCATCATCATCAGCAGCATCAGCATCATCATCATCATCATCATCATCATCATCATCATCATCATCATCATCATCGTCGTGGCCATCCGCATCATCTTCATCGTCATCATTATCAGCATCGGCAACATCATAAGCAACGTCAGCATCATCGACAGCATCATCATCAGCAGCAGCATCAGTATCAGCCTCATCGTCAGCATCATCATCATGAGCACCAGCATCATCACCATCATCATCACCATCAGCATCATCATAATCATCATCATCACCATCATCATCGGCATCATCGTCAGCAGCATCATCAGGAGCGTCATCATCAGCATCATCATCGTCATAATCATCAGCATCATCATCAGCACAACCAGCATCATCATCATCATCATCATCATCATCATCAGCATCATCATCATCATCATCACCATCACCATCACCATCATCATCATCAACGACACCATCATCAGCATCATCAGCATCATCATTATCATAATCACCATCATCGTCAGCAGTACCATCAGCATCATCAGCATCAACATCAGCATCATCATTAGCAGCATCATCAGCAGCATCATCGTTGTCGTCGGTATCGTCGCCGATGTCGTCCTCATTACCATCATCATCGTCATCAGCAGCATCATCATCACCATCGTCGTCAGTAGCAACAACACCATCATCATCAGCATCATCATCGTCACCCATAATCATAAGCACAATCAGCATCCGCAGCAGCATCAGAATCACCGTCATCATCAGCAGCATCATCGTCATCGTCATCAGCATCATCAGCAGCAGCAACAGAAGCAGCAGCAGCATCATCAGCAGCATCAGCAGCATTATTCTCATCATCACCACCAACAACATCACATCTACCAGATTCATCTGTATGAGCAGCTGCATCATCATAATTATCAGCATCATAATCATCATCATCATCATCATCATCATCATCATCATCATCATCATCATCATCATCATCATCATCATCATCATAAGCATCATCATCATCATGATCATCATCATCATCATCATCATCAGCAGCATCATCAGCAGCATCACTATCTTTATCATCACCATCATCAACCATCACCGCCACCGCCACCGCCACCACGACCACCGCAACCATCACCACCCACATCACCAACACCACCTCCATCGCCACCACCACTATCATCATTCCTCGTTGTGCTCCGCCTCCTCTTCCTCCTACTCCTCCACACCTCTCCTGCTGTTCCAACCCAATCTCCATGAACCGAACAACTCCGCCACCGTGGCTCCTGGCACATTGCGGCGTGGCAGGTGCCAAGTGCTGCCTGGCAATAGGGTCCGTAAGTCTCCACCTTCCCCCTTTCGTCATACTTCCATGCGTGTACCGCCCCCTGGTACCGAGGCTCCCTACATCTCACCGGGGCTCTCCAAGGTTTCCAAGGCGGCCCAGGAAGTAGGAGGGCCCACAGGAGGCCAAAAGAGCGCCCAAGACATCCCAGAGAGGCATCCAAGAGGCCCTCAAGACGCCTCCCGAGCGATCCCAGCAGGCCTCTCAGAGGGCTCTCGTCCACGACCAAGGCACAGCGTTGGATGCTCCCCAAGATCACACAGCTTCGCGCGTCGCGCCCCGCGATGAGCGACGTGCGGCTATGCTCGCGCCCTCGCGAGGCCACCCCGGAGAGAGAGGCGCAGCTCTCCAGCCCAGGCCGTGACGCGCGCAGCGCGGTCATCTTCGTGCCCCTGCGGGCGACCCAGCTCCGGGCTCCCATGCGTCGTCCTCTGGCGGCAGGGTGGGCACCTGCCCCCAGGACAGCCCAGTCGAATCGACGAGCCGGATCGGCGATCGACACCGATCGGATCGACGGGAATCGGCAGCCAAGTCGGGAGAAGCCGAGTCGGCGCAAATCGGCAGGCGAATGAGGCCTCCCTCGAGGAGCCGAGCACGAATCAAAATCCGAAATGGAATCGAATCGAGCCGGAGGAGTCGAAATGAGCTCTCCTCCTCCTCCTCCTCCACCTCCTCCTCCTCCTCCTCCTCCTCCTCCTCCTCCTCCTCCTCCTCCGAATAGAATAGAATCGAGCTCTGCCTTCCCACCCCCCCACCCCCCAGCGCAGATCCTTGTCGGCAGGAAGAGAGTGGGACCGCCACCGTCGCTGGTGACGCGCAGCCACTTGCCCCCCTCCTGGCAGGCGGAGGGCCAGCGGCCAGTGGGCAAAGGGAGGACCGGAGCAGGGAGAGTCGAGGCAACGGCAGTTGAGGACGGGTCCCCAGACCCCTCCTCGGGTCCAGACGCACCAGGTCTCCGAGCTGCGTCCAGCCGTGGCAACGAGGGCCCCCCCCGAAGGCCAGCTACCGCTGTCTCAACTGGCCCTCCTCTGGAAAAAATGAGGGGGCCCTGGGACACATAAATGAATACACACAAATAACAGGATTCCCTATATTTTCGCATGTTTTCTGTGCTTTTGTCTTCCACCCCATTTCCCATATTTTCCCATATGTTCTGAGGAATCGACGATTAATTGCGTCTGTTTGTTATGTCCCCTCCTGAAAAAAGAAGGCGTGGCAGAGGGCAGCGGACGACAGTGGAGGGCAGGGCCGTATAGGCCATGGGAGGCGACGCACTGCATCTCCCCGTGAGGGAGCGACACAGTGACATGGTTGTGGAAGCGCAGCGCTGAACGTTCGCAACTCGATACATAACAGACTCTGTGTTCCATGACCTGATCGGACAAGAACGGGAAGCGCCGATGTTGCCCACTGGGTTCGCAGGAGGAAAATCCGCCGACCCTGTCGGCGTGTTTGAGGGGCTTGTCCGTTCAAGTCGTTATCTTCGTCATTCATTGGTCGTCGTCTCTGTCGTCCCCTTTCCCTGCCTCCCCCTTTCCCTGGGCTCGTCGAAGCTCCCCCCTTTTCCAGGGACCTCCTCAGCGCGCCGACCAAAGCAAAGTTGAGCAACGTCGTAATTGAGTCCAAGGGAAGCCCCTTCCCTTCGATCCCTTCCCCGCCAGGGGGTGGGGGGGGTCTGGGGGGCGGGGGGTCAGACTCCCCCCCGGGAAGTCCCGGAGCCCAAAAACGCCTCAAGACGGGCCAAGAGTGCCCCAAGAGGCCCCAAAGACAGTCCAAGAGAACCCCGAATCGCCGAACGATCTGTCCAAGACGCTAGACGCCTTGACGGCCTCCAGACGGCCCAAGAGGCCTGCAAAGCGCCCCAAGAGGCCTCCAGGAGCTTTCCCACGAGAGCCCCAAGAGTCAAATTCATGGATTTCCCATACGTTTTTGACAGATTTTGGCGTTCTTGCCTCTTCCGCTTCCCGACGCGCCAAGACGGCCCAAGAGAACCCCAAGATCGCCCCGAGACGGCCCAAGAGGCCCCCAAGAGGGTCCCCTAACGGCCGAAGAGGGTCCCAAGACGGCCCAAGACGCCTCCAAGACGGCCCAAGAGGCCCCCAAGATTGCCCCAAGACAGCCCACGAGAGCCCAAAATTGCCCAGGAGGCCTCCAAGAGTGCCTCGAGACGGCGCAAGAGGAGCCCTGGACGGCCCAAGACGCCCTCAAGAGAGCCCCAGGCTGTCCCAAGAAAGCCTCTGGCCTCCTCCTTTCCCTCCTCCTCCTCCTCCTCCTCCTACTCCTCCTCCTCCTCCTCCTCCTCCTCCTCCTCCTCCTCCTCCTCCTCCTCCTCCTCCTCCTCCCCCCCTTCTGCTCCCCCTCCTCCTGCTTTCCTCTGTCTCTTTCTCCTCCTCTTGCTTCTCCTCCACATCCTTCTCCCCTCTCCTCCTTCCTCATCCACCTCCCCCACCCTTCCTCCACCTCCCACTCATCCTCCTCCCCCTGCCCCCCCTCGTTTTCATACTCGTCGTTCTCAGGGTCGACGGCACTGGCCGTAAGGCTTTCGCAATAAGAAAAGGATGATGGCGACGACAAGGCGGCGGATTACGGGGAGGTGAGCGTGGATGACGGGGAGGGCAGCGAGGGGAGCAGGAGGACAGCGAGTTGGAAGACAAACACAAGGACGAGGAAGAAGAGATGGAGGAGGGCGAGTACGAGGAGGAACGAAGCCGAGGAGGAGGACGACGACGACGAAGGAGGACGATAACCCGATGAAAAGGACGTCGAATAAGGGGGGGAGCCTCGTGATCTTTTGAGGCTACCCTTGGGGCTGTTGGAGCCGTCTGGGGCCATCTTGTGGCATCCTGGGGGCCTCTTAGGGGCCTGTCGGGGTCCGTTTGGGGGCTATTGGGGTCTTCTTGGGCTGCCTGGGCGTGTCTGAGGGTTCGGTGGGGGCTCTCTCAGGCGGTCTCGGCGCCATCTTGGGCTGTCTTGGGCCGTCTAGGGGCCTCCTGAGGCTCTCTTGGGTGCCTCTTGAGACCCTCCTGGGGTCCCTCTGGGGGGCCTTCTGGGGCTCTCAGAGGCCACGGTGAGCCCCTCCAAGAGCGAGTCCGAGACGATGTCGACTCGGAACCCATTTTTCGTGGCATGGCTGGCATCCCCCCGAGCCGCGGACAACCCTGGCAAGTACCGCGGACTCGCTATTGACGGCCGCGTTCCCACCCCGCTGCGGAACGGCGGCAACGGGTGCCGCAAATCTTCATGTGATATTCGCGAGAGACACTGGGGCCAAACCCGAATCCAGGCCCTGGGGGTCGGGCGTTGGATCCAGGGCGAACTCTGGGCCAGCTTTCGACCCCCTCCACCTCTAAGCCGATTGTCCGTTTCACGCTCAGCATACCAAATCTGTCATGGAGCGATACCGACAAGACCGCAATGGCTGATGGATGCTTTACCCGACCGCGCCGGGATAGTCCACAAGCAGCCAGACGAGACCCGAGTTCGCAAGGCCTGGCCTGCGCGCGCCAGATCGCGCAAAGGAGGCGAGGCACTGGTCCCTGGGTGGGCACGCGGGGGCGCGCAGATCGCATGGACAGATCAAACATCAACTGGTCCACATTGGCTCTGGCAAGAAGCCGAAAATGTGGATCCACCTTTTCGAAACAAAATCTGGATCAACATTTTCCACCGATGATGTTAGAAGCCGAAAAGAATCCACATTTCCAAAGCCCAGTGTGGATCGCCGAAATGTGAAGCAGACGCCAACTGTCAACACGTTGAGCGGCAGGCGAATAATTAGGGAAAACATGAGTTTCATCAACAACGAAAAATGTAGGTCCAATTTTTGTAGACCAGAAAATGTGGATCCACATGGTGATATGCGCCCGCCAGATTCGACACCGCTCTGTCAGCCCGACTCCCCATCCACGTTTGTCTCCAAGGCTTTGAATGTTCGCGGCCTGCGCTGGCATGGCCGATGCCGCGTCTGACCAAGCAATCGCCCATACCCTTCTCTCTCCCACGTCGGCCCGCCCCCGCTTCTGTTCGCCTCGATCGGCCTGACCCCCCTGCTCCCCACCCGGCCCAACAGCGCCCCACGCGCGCTCGGTGCATCGCGTTTGACCCCCGACCTGTCTTTTGATGCCGACCATGCCCCACTGTTTTCGGTCCTGCAAAACGTTCCGCTGGTTTGGGTTCCCCTCATGGCCCGTGCCGGCCACACCTCCCCACGCCCTAAAGTACGCAGCAGTGCGTTCCGTGCACTGCTCCCCCCCCCTCGACCGTCCGCCACATCTGCCTGACACTCCCACCTCCTCTTTCCCCGCCTGCTCTCCGCTATGCGCAATGCGGCAACATCGGAGCTGGATGTGACTTTCAAATTCAAGGGGTGAGACGCAACGCCACCAAAAAGGACACGCAACGGCAGCCCTTCACTACATGCGTTACTCCCTACACGATTGATCAGCACCCCCAAAGTGACAGACATCAAGATCACCTGCGCAAGGGGCATCGAGGAAAAGCTGAACCACCAACTCTTGCGCAGGTGATTGGATGCTGGGCTATGTATGGTGGCACTCCGTATGGACTTAGCCCGGGGCGTCCCCAATGTTGGATGCTGGGCTATGTATGGTGGCACTCCGTATGGACTTAGCCCGGGGCGTCCCCAATGATCGGGGGGCGCCAGAGGGACCGCACCAAGGAGACCCCTCTGGCGAGGGGCCACTCCTTACGCGTGGTCGACTTGGACGCCCGTGCCAGCGACGCCGCTGCGCCGGGGCTGCGCGATGCTGCCGCGCGCTCAGAGGCCGCGGCCGGACTCGGCGCGAGGCCCGCCGCTGCGAGCGCGAGCGCACGCGGGCGCTCCTCGACCACCCCGCCCACGGTCTCCCCGTCGGCTGCAATCTTCGAGCCCTTGTCCTCGAGGCGCATGGACCTCGGCCACAGAGCACCCTTCGGCTACGCGCAAGAGTGACCCTGGGCAAGACTGACTTGTGCTGCGCGGTTGTTGGGGGGCCGCGGGGGGGCCAAACACAAGCGCGCAAGACACTACTATCGCATCGCGCATCGCGTTCGGCGACCAGGTGACCCAAGTGGACGCGCACCAAAGGTCACTCCAGCGAAGGGTCACTTACGTCTGGTCGAACCCTGAGATCCAGGCGCTGCAAATTCCACAAGATGGGCGATGTTGCCGGGTGTTTTGGACCCCAAGGACCATGCGAATCGATCCGGCTCGAGAAAGGCTGCGAGATCTAGGGCTCTCTGGTCGTGGCATTGCACGATTTGCCAGTGTTCATGACGTCGGATCCCAGGGCACGAGTACAGCCGGACCTAGGACAGAAGAGAATCTTCCAAGAAGACGAGACCCTCCGCGGGCCAAAACAAACAGAACACCCAAGGATACCCTGCCCCAGGATTCACAATAATACCCAACAGACACGAAGAACACGAGGGCACCCTCCCCGAACCGACCTCGACCTCACACCTCGGTCCGACTGCACCGTGCAGGAGGGGGTGGGGGACGGCGAGGCCGAGGATCGGTGGGTTGCCGGAGGTGGCCCCGGCGCCCGGGACCCTCCGGGCGCCCCCCCCATGGGGGGTTGCTCTGGAGGCCCCTCTGGGTGCCCGCTGGGGAGGCTGGGGCCACCCCGTGCCGGAGCAGGCCGCAGGGGTTGCAGGAGGGAGGGGAGGGAGAGGAGCAGGAGGAGGACGAGCAGGAGGACGAGGACGCGGAGGGCGAGAAGCAGGTGGTGGGAGAGGGGGGGAAGGCAAGCTAGGTGCGCTCGCGTCACATCTGGCGTCCTACCCCTCCCTCCCATCCCTTACCATGGCAAAGATAACATCTATATTCGCACAGTCGGATATCGTAGCAGGGCACAGCATCACATGGCATAGCATGCTGTTGAAAACCAACGCGTAGCCTAACATAGCATGGCGTGGCGACGCCCCAAAGTGGGCGGCCCCAAAAGATCAACAAATCGATACCGAATGTGGAGTCACTTCCGATGATTGCTTCCGGGGGGGGGGGGGGGCATTTTCTAGATTCGGGTGCCTACTTGGAGGACCGAAAACCATGCCGTGGCATGGCGATGGAAATAACGACGCCAGAGCTGCAGCGGGAGCACAATTCGGAACGAGCGGTAGCCCGAAAATGAGGCCAGCGCTTCAGCGAGAGCAGCATTTTGACAAACATACAAAAAAAACGTGTCTTGGGAATCCTGCGTAAAACGGCCGGACATCACGAGGGGAGAGAGGAGAGTATGATTCATATCGTGTAACTGAAGAACGGAAGGCGAGGAAGGAGAAAACAGGAGGCGGGAGGGATGGGAGATGCAGGATACAGGGTACAAGGATACAGGGGGGAGCAGATGCGGCGGTGCACCGAGGAGGAAAGAAGGAGGCGGCAGCAGGGAGGAGGCCAGGCCTGCCTGAGAGCGCCAGCAGGAGGAGGGGCATCGGAGAGAGCCGACGCCCAGAGAGCGGAGAGGGGGGCGAGCGGGAGCGTCAGGAGAGGGCAGGGGTGAAGGCGGAGGAGGCCAGAGGCAGGGAGAGGAGAGGGGCAGGGGGAGGGAGGGAAAGTGGAAGGCGAAAAAGCGCGAACAAGGGCGGGATCACCACCATCCTATCCTTACCAGCCTGGAACATATCCCTATCCCTATGCTGGGCACCTCCTCATTACGGTGCCAATCTTAGGGGTTCCCTTATTTTTTGAGGGCGGATCCCTAAGATTGTCATCGCCGTTGGGCGTGTCAATCTTAGGGATAGGGATACGTTAGAGGCTGGTAATATCCCCGAGAGAAGCAGCATCGGAACAGACGCGGTTTCTGTCGCGGTCTCCGCCGCGTGATCGGCAGGGAGCCTGGCACGCCGCGCAGACAAACGCCTCGAGGCTCACGTGGGCGCGGCAAAGCGAACATGCGACACGAACTCCGACTCTGCAGTGGGCTGCTTACACCTGCGTCTGGATCCTTGAGCCTCTCCCCCCTCCCTCCCGAGCGGGGGGGGGGCCAAAAAGAATGCCGATATCGCCACTCCTCGAACCTCTCCCAGGGCGCATTCTGGTCAGGACCTCAGGGCGAATCCCACCGTGGCGACGAGGGCTCTCCAGGAAGCCCAAGGATGCGAAAACGACGGCGGGGGTACTGAAGGGGAAGGCTGGGGGACGAAGACATGGACCTGGAATCCAAAAATAGCCCCACGAGGGCGAATCCACGCGCTCCTGGGCTGGGTGGGACATCGAGCCCCCGCGGGCAGCCCGGGCTGAGAGACCCCCCCCCCGAGGAGTCCCGGCTGGCCTCCACAGGACCCCCGGGTAGCTCGGGGCGGTCGCAGCACGTCCACCTGGGGGCGCAGAGCGCCCATGGGAATGGGCCGCCGCCAGAGGCGGCGCCGGGGCGTCGAGACGGGCCCCGAGCTGCTGGGGGGGCCGATGGAGGCCAGCTGGGGCTGCTCGGGGGGCCCGCCGAGGCCACCCGGGATTACCGGGGGAGGGGGGGGGCCGTCCGTGTGCAGCCCGAGGCATCACCAGGTTCTCTCTCTCTCCCTCTCTCTCTCTCTCTATCGCTCCGCCGTCGGCGCGGCAGCGGACGGGTCGAGGCCCGCCCGCTGTCGCGCAGCCAAGTCCTGCGGGGGCGAGGGGGCGCCTCTCGCGCCCTGCCCGCGCGGCCGCGGGGCGCCGCCCCGCAGAGCCAGCCCCCCGGCCGTGAGGATGCCGAAGGCGACGACACGGCAGGGGAACACCCGCGAGCCGCCGAAGTTCCCCGCGAGGGCCCTCGCTCTCTCTCTCTCTACCTCGCTCTCTCCCCCCCCCCCGCCTCCCCCCTCCACCGACGCGCCCACCTTCTGTACTGCACGCCCGGGTAGGGCTTCGGCACGTGGACTCGGAACTTGCCGCTGAACCCGGCGGGCAGCGCCTGGAGCTCCTGGTGGCGGACCCCGAGACCCGAGAGAGGCTAGAAGGAAGATAACTGTCCAGACATGCTCGGGCGGCTGATCTGTTTGGGCGCGAATTCATGGGGGGCGATAAGTGGGCGGGAGAGAGAAAGAGAGAGAGAGAGAGAGGAAGGGGTCTTTCTGGGGCCCTAAAGGCCCCCTTTGGCGCCATTAAGGGCCCTTCTGGAGGGCAGGCGGGAGAGGCGAGAAGGAGGATTTCCAGGAGGAGTATGTCGATGACGAGGATGACGAATGCAGGTCAAGAGCAGGAGGATGGCCATTGGGGAACGCGCGAATACATTCAGGACCCACCCTGGCACTAAAAACGCTGCTTGAGGTGACTGGACTCCGACTATAATTCTGAGATGGGGTCTTGAGGGATAGGGTCCTAAGGACAGGAAGGGATTCAAGGCTGGATGTACATGGTTTAGGGCACCTCCCCCTCAGGACCCCATTCCTCAGGACCCCATCTTCGAACCACCCATCAAAAAAAGTACCTTGCAGCTGACGAGGCGAGATCAGCTGCAGAGCACTCGTACCGAGGCGAAAGCAGTTGGGGCCCCAGGGAGACCCCGAAGGGCAGAGGTGACCGACGGCCGCCAGCCACAAGCGTCCCAGCGGCCCTTCCACTGCACACGAGCGGGGCAGCGTTTGCAGAATGGAGTTCTCGCCGCAGCGCAGCGCACATGCGTCGCAACACTCTGCAAGGATGGCAGCGATGCAAAGGGGCGGTTTCCAACATGGGGTCCTCGCCTTGGCGACTCGCAGATTCGGCGTCGTGGCTTGCAACGGCTACAAGGGTGTGGGCGTTGTTTTCAAAGTGGAGGTCTCGCCCGAGCGCCGCCCACATTCGTCTTTCGGCGGTGGACAAACCTCCCTTTAGTAAACCTCCACTTAGTGAAAACGGCCTGGGACCGAAACCGACGGACCAGGACCCGCAAAAATGACGGCCGCGACGCCCGCTCGCGAACCGAAAACGGCCAATCCCTTAATCGACGCGTCAGGGTGGAAGGTCTGTCCACCTCCGAGCCTCAATAGCTTGCAGCCTGCAGGCATGCAGGGGGGTGGTCTCCAAAATGGAGCTCTCGCCGGCGCACGAGCTCCGTCAACTGCCAGGACCGAGGGCGGCCCCACTTCAAAAACACCTCGGCAGCTCTCTGGGGAGCGAGGCTGAGAGGGCTGCAGGGCAAGAGTCGGGCCGGGCGAAAGCGGGGGATAGCAAAGGGGGGGTTTGAGAATCAGCTCGCGTAGCTGATTTTCCCAGCGCCTCCCGGCGCCGGGAGGCGCCCATGTATCGAGGAAAGGGCCCGGCGGCAGGGCCGAAACCAGCTGCATGCAGCAGATTTCGTACCCCCCCCTTTCCCTATCCCCCCTTTCGTTCCGCCCGAAAGAGGTGGGCCGAAGCCTCGAAGCTCGAGGTTTTCAAACGTTTCCGCTGGTTCTCGGAGGCGTTCCAGCCTCGGCATGCCCCGCATGCCTCCCAGCGGCTGCGCCTCGCCGAGAGCGTTCCCGAGTTTCCGGGATCGTTCCGAACGGCCGCCGGAGGCCTGAGCCATGACCCGAAAACCACCAGGGGACCGGCTCAGAGGGGGAGGCATCGAGCTGGAATCGGCGATGCATGGCCGATAAAAACCGGCCGTAGGCCCTTGATAGCGAGCCCGCGCACTGGTGGGCGTATGGTGGGCTATCGGGCCCCTGGCATCGGTGAGCAGGGAGCGATTGCGGGTCGATGTTATCACTGAAGAAGGAAGAGAGGAGCAGGAGGAGGAGGAGGAGGAGCAGCAGCAGGAGGAGGATGAGGAGGAAAAAGGGACGACACTGGTGACATGGAGCCAGATGGTACAGCCACTCCCCCCTGAGCCTGTCCGACGGGGTGAGCCGAGGTGGCCCCTGGGATCTGGGCGTCGCCAGAACTCGCGACGGCTGGCTCTTTAACATCCTCGGCCACCAAGGGCCGCTTCCTAGCCCTGGGACCATCCAAAACCAACTCAGGATGGAAAGTCAGCTCCGTCGAGATCCCCAAGACTCCTCCTCCTCCTTCTCCTCCTCCTCCTCCTCCTCCTCCTCCTCCTACTCATCATCATCATCATCATCATCATCTTCATCATCATCATCATCCTCATCCTCATCCTCATCCTGCTACTACTACTACTACTACTACT